AGTGTGAGCTCTCATCTTCCACATTATTTTGAAAGTTTGTGTTTTGATTGTGAGATTATTCTGATAACGTTATTTGTATAAATATTAAAAGCAGAGGTAAGGTTACCCCCTAACAGAATTTAATATAGTTTGAATTGGATTCTGGTATACTGCCATTAAGTTTAATTATTATTTCCCAAATGTTTTTTTTGGAATATAATCCTTGAAGAATTATTTAGGGTTTTATTTCATAGTGTGGTCATATAAATCTGAAAAATGCTTTATTATTTTATCTTTGTCTTGGAAATTCAGAAAGACTGATTTAAAAAAAAAAGTTTAAGCTGGCATTTTCCAAATGTAGGAGATCACTAGGTAGATTCCTTTTCTCCTGTTTTATATGTTGAATTTTATGTACTGAAATTTTGCATATTTTACTATTAGTTTATCTTCGGCATTGTATTTTTTTTTTTTTTATGTACCCAGTACCCTTTGTTTAAAAATTTAAAATTGAGATATAAGTTAAATATCATAAAATTCATTATTTTAGAGTATACAATTTCAATGGTGTTTAGTATATTTACAAGGATGTGCAAAACTCACCACTTTCTAATTGCAGAACATGTTATCAGCACAGAAAGAAACCCCATAACCATTAACAATCACTCTCCTTGTTCCCCATGTCCCAGCCTCTGGATTTGTCTGTTCTGCACATTTTATATAAATAGAATTATGCAATATGTATCCTTTTGTGTCTGGCTTTTATCACTTAGCATGTTTTTAAGGTCATCCATGTTGTAGTCTGCCTCTATCGTGTGTTTTTTTATAGTTGAACTAGAGGTCTGATGCATGAAAATTCATGCACTGAGGCGGAGGGGGGAGTTCCCCAGCTCGGCCTGCACCCTCTCACAGTCCAGGAGCCCTCAGGCGCAGGAGGCGAACTGGCAATTGGGAAGGCAACGTCCCCATCACACCTCTGCTGCTGCCACTGCCTGCAGTGCAAGCCTTGGCCAGCTCTGGTTGCCTAAGCCTTGAGCTGTCCTGGGCGACTGGGCAGCTGCCATCCCAGACTTGCCTGTGGCTCAGGCTGACCCTGGGTGGCTAGAGGGCTGAGGGGACTGGGCACCACCATCTTGTGGCTGTAGGCACCACCATCTTTGAGGGTATGATAGTCAATTAGCATATTCTCTCCTTATTGGCTGTGGGCGCCACCATCTTTGTGAGGGTGTGGCAGTCAATTAGCATATTCCCTCTTTATTAGATAGGATAATATTCCATTGTATGGATAATACCACATTTTGTTTATCCATTCATCTGTTGATGAACATTTGGCTTGTTTTAATATTTTTAGACTATTATGAATAATGCTGCTAATGAACATTCATGTACAAGATTTTGTGTGGACATATATGTTCTCATTTCTCTTAGGTGCATCTAGAGATGGTTGCTGGATATTATTGTCAGTGTTTAATGTTTTGAGGAACTGCTGAGCTGTTCTTTTTTTTTGTAAGGCCGAATAATATTCTATGTGTCTGTATAGCTATGTAAAAACACTCAAACCTATGGTAAATTTTTGAGTTTGAGTCAAAACTAATAATATATGCTGGGGAGCAAGATTTCAAATGCTCCCCAGAGTAACAGTTTCGGTTTCTTTTATGCATTTAGAATTAAGGAGGGAATATAAGAAAGATTATGTGAAGGTGGAAGAAAGCAAAGTGGGATTGGATTACAGGATAGTTAACCAGATTATGTGCTCTCTTCAGTGAGGTTACACGCCTTGGAGGGTATTACTTCTCGCATTTCAAAGGTATGTTCACCTGGATGCGCAAGAACAATAGATAGGATTTGCTTAAAAACCTTTGACTAAAGGAGTTACAGGGCTGGGGCATGACTACCCACCATGACATGACCTGTTCAGTAAGGAATTTATGGTTTATTACAGCACCCTTTTCCATACACATGTCTAACACATGTTTATCCACTCATCTGTTGATGGACATTTGGGTTGTTTCCATCTTTTGACTTATGAATAATGCTGCTTATGAATATCGGTTTACAAATATTTGTCTGAATCTTTGCTTTCAATTCTTTGGTCTAGGTACTCATAAATGGAATTATTGGATCAAATGGCAATTCCATGTTTAATTTTTTATCCAACTTTGTTTTGAACTTAGGTAAATTTTTGTGGTCTTTTATTGTGATGTCCCATTTATTTTACATTTGTGAGGTAGGTGTTAAATTTGTAGCAGCTCTTTCATGCTATTGTATTCCTAGGGGAGAATTCTAATGTTATTACCTAGAAGTATGCTTTGTGTAGCTATAATCAGTCTGTATAAAAATGTATCATCATAAGCAGGAATTTTCTTTTTGTTTTGTTTTGTTGGCTTTTTTGTTTGTTTTTCTTTTTATAAGCAGCAATTTTCAACTGGTGTGCTGCAAGAATTTTTAAAACTTACAACACCTGATTATTTAGTCAGGAGCACTGACCTCTTTTCCTTAGATTGTCAAATAAAAAATGACAACAGCCAACACAACAATGAATGAATCAAAATTATACCTACTTTTTTTTATCAGATTGGCAAAAAATATATTTTTTGGTGTGCTGCAGAATTTAAAAACTAGTTTATATGTGCCTTGAGATAGAAGAGGTTGAAAATCACTGAATGTAAGTATAGAGCACGCATTTTGTCTGCTAGATTGGACTTTCCTATCCGCGCTGCCTTAGGCATCTGGTAGCATCTATCTACAGAACCAGGCTGTTCAGGGGCCTTCTTCAGGACCATGTGCAAAGGAAGTAACATCTGAGTTTTGATCAAGTTGGCTAAGTGACAAAGGGGGGGGAAAGGGTGTTTTTGTGGCCCCAAAATCTATGTTCTTTCTGTTATACAGTAGTCAGGTTCCTCTCCCTTTCGTTGTAAAAGTGGTTTTGTTCAAGAATAGATTTCAGTGATCTATAATTATGGTTGAGGAAAGTCCCGTTTTAGTATCTATTGTGCAGAATTGGCTACAGATATTAGAAGGATGAAATCCGCCTTCTTGATAAATTTCTAAGGGAGGTTACAAGTACAAAGCTAATTAATATACATGGAAATGAAAACTACACACTGTTATGGCTTTCTTCAATTAAAAAAAGAGGTTTGAAATTTTTCCCCAGGAAAATGATACTTTGTAATTTAAAAATGTATTTGCTAACTAACTTAGGCTTGTCTTTTTCTATAAAATACAAACTAGTAATAAAGTGGTGCTTAGTCATAGAGGGATAGAGAAGGCAGGGCATACTTTAAAATATATAAAGGAAGGTGAGGGTATAGTTTTATTTTCATTTTTAATTGATTTTAGAGGAAGTGAGGGAAAGAAAGAAACATTGATATGAGAAAAACATTAATTGGTTACCTCCCACATTCCCCCTGATGGAGGATCGAACCTGCAACCTGGATATGTGTCCTGACTGGGGATTGAACCTGCAGCTTTTTGTTATACAGATGACACTCCAACCAACTGAGCCACACTGGCCAGGGTGGGGACATAGGTTTTTAAAAGATAGAGAGGCCAATGTAAAATTTATGTCAGTGTTTAGACCTTGAGGTTGGTAGACTTAAGTAACTTCCTAGGGTTTTTGCTACTGAAAGGCCAGTTAAGCAGGCTAGGAAATTTCCAAAATTGGGTAGTTGAATAAGTGTTAACTATTAAACTGTCTCCTCCTCTTAGAAGCCTGCTATGACCTTGACGGCATAACCTAATTGCTCCCTCTTGCATTCTTCTATCCTTTTAAACATTGTGTTTCTGTCTCCCTCAGTTAGGTTGTGAATTTCTTTAGGGCAGAGATGTCATATCTTATTCTGTACTTTTAGCATTTGGCTTAATAGCTTACACACAGTAGACCCTTTTAACATTGCTGAGCCACTTCTTAGTATGAGGCTTGGACACGGATATAACCAATGAGAAGAAACAACTGCCGTAGATGTCAGAAGGGGAGATTGAAATCAGAGTTAGGATGTGGCCAAAAACAGAGGAAACCACTACAAGTTAGAAACCAGAGAGAAGATTTTTGTTTCATGTGGTGCTCCAAGCTATTTCCTGGTCTCATTTCCTTGAGACTTTGGCTGGTGGCTTGTAATCCTTTTGTTTACTTAGCAGACCTTGAGGCACGCAAGTTGTGGGGTGGCAGAGCATGTCGCTTGAATGCAGCATAGTAAAGCCACAATAGAGGCATGCGCACACAGTATTACTCTATGAAAGAGGGGATCGGGCCTTCATAGAAGGTACTATTTTAGCCGAATAGGAGAAAATACCTCCTGCCAAAATATAGTAAGTCTCTCTGTGAAGAGAGACTTAATAACGCCCAGTAGAGCCTAGGAATGGCCCCAGATGGGAGCAACCGGTACATGTGGGCAATTACTGGAATTAATAGTGATAGTTGTGCAACCTCATGAATATACTAAAAAACACACGACAGGACCAAATTTTTAAGTGGTGAGTTTGATAATGTGTGAATTATATCTCAATTTAAAGAGAGAGACATATGAAGAGTTCCTGAAACAAGCAGAAACAGCAGAATTTAAAAAAAAAAAAAAAAAAAAAAAGCCAGGATAGGTTTGCGAGAAACTCAGTGGTAGAGAATTGACAGTACTTGGGCACTGAACATTGGCAAAGTGCAAAATGAAATAGAGGTTTATGCTGATGGTTCTAGTTTGTATGATTCAATTGCTAGGGAAAGACATTCTGGAAAAGCAAGTTTGGAGAGATACATAATGAATTGTGTGGAATGTTTAGAATGAGTAGTCAAGGCAAGCAGTTAAAGGTAAAGGCCTAGATTTTAGGAGAGACTCGGCCTAGAGAGAGAAATGAGTATGTAAGGAGTTGACTGAAGTTGGTCAAATTGCTGATAGCGGATATCTTGCCCTCCCCTATCCACACCCCAAATAAGAAAGTCATGTCTTATTTGCTCCTTTTCTCCACCCTGGGGTAGAAGTAGTGGTGGTTGCTCTTTTTATACAAAGCTGAATCTTTATATTACTTTTCAGGCAGAGGCAAGGCTAGCAGCAAAACGGGCTGCCCGGGCAGAAGCAAGAGATATACGCATGAGAGAACTGGAACGACAGCAAAAAGAGGTAATTGGGGGGAATAACTAATTTCTTGCTAGTCTCAACACACACACACACACACACACACACACACACACACACATATACTTGGTTAGTTTACTTCTGAAGTAAATCTAATTTCCTTTGAAACACTGGAGAGAGTGTAACCTGTTGTATATATCTTAACAATCCATTATACATCAGCAAGTTAAATGTGATATTTGTTTTAAATAATAGTAAACACATGTAACTCTTGCTATGTTATTCACTATAGTTCTAAATCTAGAATTTCAGTTAATTATATTATATCTACACAATAAAGCACTGAGACATTACTCAACCTTATAGTTTTTAAGCATATTTAATAACAGAAGAGAATATTCGTGTAAGAAAATGAAAAACAACAAAGCAACTTACTGTAAGACTTGTAGGACTCCAATGTTGTGTTACACAGCCTGGTACCCATATATAGGATCAAAAACTACTAGAAAGAAGTGGTTACTATCAATACTTTGTCTGTGATGGTATGATTGATTTTACTTTCTTATAGTTTTCCATAGTTAATAAATTTCAGTATGCTTTTATCGTCAGAAAGAAAATCAAAGTCAAAATTTACAAATAGATTATATAGAGATTTGGCTTCTTAAAAATGAAGCAAATGCTCTTTTTTTTTATTATTTTTTTTTTTACCCTTTCCTTTGACATTGACCTAGCTCTGAAAATTCCCATAAAAATATTTATGATGCTGTATTAATACAAAGGGGGGAAAAACCTACAGGGTAATATTAAGCGCTTTATTTTGACATTGGTGGTTTATCTTCTGCTAATGGATTAAGAGAAGTGTATAGTTTCCATATTGTTACAGCTGAAAACCAAAGCAAAATTGCTAATATATTGTAATATTTTTTAACCTCATATATAGTTTTAAATATTGAATGCAGTTCTTGGCTTGAAACGAAAATGTTGCAATGCATTTTCTTTTATACTCCTAAAATTATAGTAAATTATAAGGAGATAATTATTAAATATAACTTTTATTTATGGTCCTCTAAACAACAGAGAACATATGTCTCTTATTATTGAACATATTTAGCTTAGTAATTTTCTGTATTTTGAATGTGTAACTTTGAGTCATCAATCTGCACTTCAGGGCAAATGTATAAGATTAATACTTTTCAGAGAACACAGTAATTCTTGGAAACTCTTTAGTTTATGAAACTTTTGCATTTGTAGCATTCTCATCATTCCTCTGATCGGAAGTGGGGACAGATTCACAAGTGGCTGGTAGGCCAGGATTGCCTGTCCTGCATGTTGTGATCACTTGCTGAAATAATGCAATCTTGAAGTAAAACATTGACTAATAGTTTGCAAAGTAGAAGTGGTTGGCATGTTTGAACCTAAAGGTCAGAGATTCTCTCTTCTGTCTTTAGTGATCAAAATTTGTACTTGGGAGTCCAACCCTTTCTGTTGTAGTCTACAATCTCACACTCATCTAAGGAATCCTACTGACTAAGAAAGATTGAGTAGATGAATATTTTTTTCTTTCTATGGGTTTGTTCTTCTTTCCCTTCAATTGTTCCTCTCTTCCTCTCTCCTCCTCTCCCCCTGACTCTTGCTCCCTATTCCTTCCTTCCCTGTTCTCTTCTTCTTCCTCCTAATCCTCCTCTTCCTCTTCTTTCTTCTTCTCCTCTCTTTTTCTCTCTCTCTCATACACTAAGTTAGTAGGGTCTTCACTGAGAGTCATTCTTCCATCTCCTCTGAAAATTACTCTTAATTTTTCAGTAATCTCATTTTCATTTCAAGTCTTCTACCACAACTTCCTCTACAAGAGCAAATTGTTAATATTAGTTATTGTGAATCATTCCTAATATTGATTTTTTTTCAATGTTGATGAGTTCCCCAATTGTCTCCTATTGTAGGGGTTCTTAACTTGGTATGTGAATAGGCTTGGGGCATAAAGCCATAAAATCTCACACAAAATTCTTTTGGGGGAAATATATATGTATTTTTTGCATCAGATACTCAAAGGACTGTGATCCCTAAAGGGTTAAGAACTACTGTCTAATTATTGCTAAGTCAGCAACTTTTATAAGAAAATTCCTTCTATTAGCAGCATTTTAGAGTACAAATGAATTAAAATAATTATATTGACCTATGAATTTAAAACTTTGTCATACTTCTCCTTGTGGTATTTTAGGAAAGAGAGAAAAAAGATGTTTGATTAATTGGGAATGGAATCTGCAAACTATCTTCTGCATGTAACTGGATTAATATTACTAATGGTGCGTTGAGAATATTTTGTGTGAATAAAAGAAATCACTTTTGCTTGCAAATTTTCTATGGAAATAGTAGTTTAATTTCTTCTTTTAATTATGTATTATAGTTCTAAAATTAAATTGCCTAAGATTTTAATATCTTAGGGCAGACCAAAACATTATAAGCAAAAAGCCTATATTAAAAGTTTAATATTTGATTTCTATATTCAGAGGCAATGAAGATAAACATAGTTTCATCTCTGAAATATGTGCAGTTCAGGCAGTGAGTGTGCTAGATTTTCATGGAAGAGGGAACAATTTGGGTTAGAGGCTTAGATGCAGGTGGCAGCTAACCCAAGTTTTGAATGATAGCTCAGACTTGGGTATGCAGAGAAGATGGGATTTAGTTTCAGACAGGGTAATTATCACTTCTGACACTTGCTTTTACTCCTTTCAAACTGATATTTCATCTCATTTTTTATCTTATTTTAGTCTTGATACAGTGAAACATAAATTACTAATAAATTTGTAATAAAATAAGTTATATATATATACACACACACACACACACAATAGGATTGTCAGTTATTAAAAGGAGAATCTTCTCATATGAAAACATTTCTAATTTTAATCCTTTTTTGTGTGTGCAGGGATGGGATGTTGAAATGTGAAAAGGGAAAGCAAGGTCCTGAGGCTCAGGAATGAAGCTTACTTTGAGTGTTCTGTATGTGAACATTGTCCTAATGTTCTTACCCATGTTTTCACTTCACATCTTTAGTGGGATGTGCTTTTTAGAGGTAGGTTTTTAAAAAGTGCTCTTGTGTGGTAGGTGGAATAAAAAGAAAGGACAGAATAAAATGAAGGGTGAACATTAAACCATGTATGTCATGCTAGTATCCCAAATAATGTTGGGAGGGGGCATGTAGAATTAATTTGCCTTTGTAGTACAGGCTCTTTAAACTAACCAAGCTAACTAGTCTAGAACTAGTCACTACTTAGTAAACTGTATCTCTTCTGCTGGGCTAATGCATATGCCCCAAAACTTTTGTGGTATCTCCTGATAGTTGAAGAAAGGGAAGAATTTTCCTTGGCTTCTTATAGATTACCTGTGTTTGTTATATAACAGAAATGTAAATCATTGATGAATTTTCCTAAAGATCAGAATATCCCATTGGATATTAACTTATTGAATCATATGCTGCTTATAAATAGACTTCTGAACAGATTTGATCAAACGTGTCAATGTACACAGCAGATGACAGACAGGAGAGTTTCGCAATTATACTCGAAGTCATGACTAAAATAAGGCATTAACTGTGGTGTTTTAGTTGAATTCCTATTTCTGTATTTGAAATGAATCATCAGACATAGCCACATCGATTTGTTATACCTGCATAATGATCATGTTGTATGGCCACAAGGTGTTTGAGATATTGATTCATCACTGTTATCAACTATGACCTCATTTGGACCAATTGTGTATATACCTTAGTCAATGCAAATCACTTTAATACTTTGGACTTTGAAAATCTGAAAGATCAGAAGTTTCGTACTGTTTCACTTGGTTAGATTCTAGGGACTAGTTATTTGATTTCACATGACTCAGGATTTAATGCTCCAGTGCTAATAACTGAATGGAAAAGTTGAGAATTGCCTTTCATTTAGTCATCTGTTAGGTTATGGCCAGTTTTCTTTGCAATCTTCATAAGGCATACCTCTTATTAACTTTATCAATTCTAAAATGTTTGTCCAATTCTAATTATAAGTAGTTTTTTGTATTAACAATACATATCCAGGGGCTATGTCATTTAGCTATTCTTTTCCAGAGAAGGAAAAAAAGAAATTCTTTGCAGTGAGAAGAAAATTATGACCCAAATTTTTTAAAAGCAATACACTGTCTCCTTACTACACCTCTAACAAATAAACCTTTCTTCTTGCCTTGCATAAACTAACATTCACAATGGAAAAAAAAAAACACAGATAAAAAGTCTACTTTTTAATGCTAAACTCAATTTCTGTTTAAGAATACTTTCTTATTTTTATCTTGGTATATTGAGCTGTTTTTGTCATATGTAGATTACATTCTACAAATGGTCAGGCATACATAAACTTATTATAATAAAAACATTTCCAAGATGATCTCTAATTTCTTTCCAACTGAAGCATGTGGCTGCCCCAGACTCAGGTTTTGAAACCGAGTTGTTCATACCTGCTTGCTGTAAGGAATGTGCACTGTGCTCTGAACTGACCTGCCTTCACCCTGTGGTTCTGATAGACAGTCCTCTGTTCAGTGATTAATTCTCCATGTACTTTCTCCTTTCCCAGGAAGATTCAGAAAGGGCCAGGTATTCCCACCGGTCCAGTCATCACCGTCCTTCTCTGGTTTGTAATAACCTATAAACTTGCCTCTAGTACTTTTTCCTCACTAACTTAACGCAGTCACTCACAAACTTTTGTTTTTATTTTTATCAGGGAGTTGAGGATGCATTGTCCATTCGAAGTCTTGGCAGTCACAGGGTTGGTATTTTGTTTACACAATAGCAAAGCTTATTTGTCTGAGCTTTCTGCAGCACCATTGCTAAGCAACCTGATTATGCTCATATATTCCTTTGCCTTTTTTTCCCTTTGCCTTTTTTTTTTAAAAAGAAAATATTGGCAAAGTTCTTTCATTGGAAACTGATGCTTTCTCTCAAATTATTGCTAAAAAATCAATGCTAAAAATCATAAATATTTTCATCTATTTTTTATAAAAGAACTTGATTTAAAAAAATTATTGCAAAACAATAAGATTGATTTTATAGAATGACATCTGCATGGTTCTTTCAAATTTTTCCTACTTTCATTAAAAAAAATTTTTTTCTCCTTGCTTCAAAAATCCATTAATACATTGTCCTCGGATAGAGAATGTATCAGATGTTAAACTTGATAAGAACAGATGCATAGACCGAAAGGCCAAGAAGTGATTAATATATTTTTAAAATAATTTATTAAATGATAACTATTTTGAAGTTTGGGTGACTAATTATAGTTTTATTACATGGAAAAATTGAGCTACTGATTTGAAAAATTCCTGCTTGTCATGTCTATAGAAATTATCATGCGTCAACGTTTTGATTAACATTTGATAGTATGTCTCAAGTTTTTAACATGCATTGTTGTTTATTAAGATATATGAGACATCGCTTGTTAAAAAGGCTTGCATATTGTGCCAAGACACTGATCTCTCTCTTAAAAGATTTGTGCTTTAAACTTTAAAGAAATTCTTTTAATGTGCATGTTGGTATATTTAACACAAAGATGTTTCATCAGTAAAATGATCTTATCATATTAATGTCTCTATTTGTTTATATCCCCCTAAGTCTAATTTTCTTCCCATCTTATATAATGTCTAAAAATATACTGTAATAAGGCTGAGTATGTTCCAGTATGTTAGTTATTGATGTGTTGTATTCTTAAATAATTCTTTACTCTGGTTATATTACTTTTGGTGAGTATAATCTGTCTTTTTAGATAAGTTAGTAAGCCAATTTTTGAATCAGGTATTTTGGTTAATTATGAACGTTTAGATTTATAATAATATTAACAAGCCTTTATACAAATCTAATCAGCAGTTTTAGAATGATTTTATAGGAGGAAAACTTTAAGGTAATAAGTTTGTCATCTTTCTCCCTGGAGATACGTGCGTGCGTGTGTGTGTGTGTGTGTGTGTGTGTGTGTGTGTGTTTGTGTGTGTGTATCCATATGTGTATATATATACATATACATATCTAAATATGTGCACACACATACTTTGAGAAGAATCACAGAGGGATTAGTCAACAAAATATTAAAAGTTAAATGTTTTTGAGGGCTTTGAAAATAATTCCTTTTCTCCTCCTTTTTAAAAATGTCTGGCTTTTTTCCTTTGCTTTCTATTATAATATTCATAGATGAAGTTTCACACAGTTATTATCAAGCTGGTTATTTATTGTATAAACTAGATACCCAATGCATGAAGATTCATGCAAGAAGAGCCTTCCTTACCCCTTCGCTCTGGCCAGAGCCACCTTTCTGCCTTTGCTCCGGGCCTGGAGCTGCCTTTCCGCCTTCCCACACTGCCCAGAGGCCCAGCGCAGCTGGGGTGGTGTGGAACACCTGCGTCCCATTCCTGGCTGCTCCATGCCTATGTATGCAAATTACTTGCCATCTTTATTGGGTTAATTTGCATACTCACTCCTGATTGGCTGGTGGGCATCACGAAAGTACGGTCAATAGGCATCTTTCTCTTTTGTTAGTGTAATTTGTATGTGTTCTTAGGGAAACTTGATTATAATAAGTTTTATATAAAAACATATTTTATCAAAGGTTTATTTGCTTAAACCTTTGATAAAATCATCCAAATTTGACCTAATTTTGGGAGCCTTTAAAATAAATCTGCAAACAAAAAAAGAAATTTTAAAGTAAACTGATAGGGAATTATTTATACAGAGTGTCTGTAAAGTAATGAGTTGATTTTCTTTTTATGGAAATTATATTATTAAATACATTTAAGTTATAACTAAAACTCTCAAACTATTTTGTTCATTATGATAATTATGAAAAAATTGTTACTTCAGGAGAAAAGAGTAAATTTCTGATAAAAAAAAAATTCAGTGTGCAAATTTAAATATAAATAAAATTTTTAGCCCTAGCTGGTTTGGCTCAGTGGATAGAGTGTCAGCCCATGGACTGAAGAGTCTCAGGTTTTATTCCAGTCAAGGGCGTGTACCTAGGTTGCAGGCTCCATCCCTAGCCCAGATCAAGGTGCATGCAGGAAGCAACCAGTCGATGTGTCTTTCTCTGTCTCTCCCCATCCCTTCCACTCTCTCTAAAAATCAATGGAAAAATATCCTTGGGTAAAAATTAATACAACATAATAATAAATACAAATTGAAATTTAAACTGTAGGAAATTGTAGTACTATACTGTTTGTGTGTATATTCAGCACTTTTTTCTTTTTTAATTTCAGAGAGGAAGCAAGAGGGAGAGAGATAGAAACATCAATGATGAGAAAGAATCATTGATCAGTTGCCTTCTGCATGTACCATACTGGGGATCTACCCCTAATCTGGGCATGTGCCCATGACTGAAATCGAACCCAGGACCCTTCAGTCCGCAAGCTGATCCTCTATCCACTTAGCCAGACCAGCCAGGGCATCAGCACATTTTAAATATTACACAATAAGTCTGAAAGCTCACTAATAACATTGTTTAAAAGATATAATTAAGATTAGTTTTTTCCTTTTAACTAGATAATATTGAAAGGTCTAAGTTTTCATCATATTATTTGCTTTTTAAATTATCTTTACCATCTACATTAAGCTGAATGAGTAGACAAATTTTATTCTCTGTAAAAATAAATATGATGGCCTAAAGTACTGACCTAAATTTTATTGGGCTTTGCTTAAATTTTGGTATTTTGGTATTTCTCTGCCTGTCTTTTAAAAAATATTTTTCTCATGAGCTGTGTATTTAAATGTCTAACACCTTTGGACTTTGTATTTGATATATGAATGTTAGAAGTACCGGGCTGTGAAGCAGATGTGTTATGTTGTATTCTTAGGACTTTGATGTTTCCTCTTGTACAATTATCTTTAAGTCACTACCTTCTTGAGAGGTGGTCTGCCAGAAGCTGTTTGGGCTGGAAATGGTGTCAGTGCTATAAGCGTTCTGTATAAAAATAAAAAGGGCAAACCTAGTTCAAAACCGTGAGTGGTAGGTTTAGGGGAGGGAGGATTAAATGAAAGCCTTGAGTTTAAAATTGAAACAGTTTGCTGCTTTAAAAAACAATCTGCCTTAAAAAGCATCTTGGTCATTGCTTTATATACTGAACTACTGTAAGGTAGACATCCAAAATTAGAAAATGAGGTGATCTTGCATCAGAGCAGTAGGGATACATTGGTATTTCTCACTGTGGAGATTTTTACTGTTGTATGTATTAGTTCCTGGTTATGTGTCAATGACCTCAGTATAATTTTAATACGCTTGTAATTTGTGTTTTTTCATTTACTATTACACTGTTTAATTCCTTTGAAGAGCCCATCGAAGGACATAACTGGGACCCATTGGAGCAGAGCCAGTATACCCAAAAGGAAAGACATCATGGTGTGTAGCCCAGAAAAATGTGCAGTGTTAGTATTATGCATTCACTGTTGACTCTCAGAGTTCTGGGGGCTTGAGTAATAGGTACATTTTTATAGAAATTGACACTTACTGAAGTGTTGCAAAAGAAAGATATATTATTTGATTGATTGATTGATTGATTGATTGATTTCATAGAGGAAGGGAGAGGGAGAAGTAGAAACATCAATGATGAAAGAGAATCATTGATCGGCTTCCTGCACATCCTACACTGAGGTTCGAGCTTGCAACCCAGGCAAGTACACCGACCAGGAATTGAACTGTGACCTTCTGGCTCATAGGTCGGTGTTCAGCCACTGAGCCATGCTGGCCAGAATAAAGATATATTTACCAAAGTACCTGAGGAACTTACTCATTGCTTTTTATTTTTTTTAATTTTTTTTTGTGCATTGCTGTTCTGAGTAAGATTGCTTAAAAAATATAAACTAGAATGTTTAACAAATGAATGGTAGGAAACTACAAATCAATTTTTTTGGATTTCAAATGTAGTGGTACTCACATTATCTTCTTTTCTTTTTTTAAAAAACATCCTCATCCAAGGTATGTTTTATTGATTTGAGAAAGAGAGAGGAAAGGGGAAAGAGAGAAAGAAACATCGAAAGGTTGCCTCCTGTATTTGCCCTATTGGGGATAGAACCTGCAAGCTCCAGGTATGGGCCCTGACTGAGAGTTGAGCTCAAACCTTGTGGTGTATGGACGACACTCCTACCAACTGAGCCACCTTGCCAGGACATCTTATTTCCTTAAAGATTCTACATGAAATATGGCTTTCTGATCTTACAAATTTTATATATTTTTCTTTGGTTTATATTTAATACCACAATTGTATGTATACTGTGCGTTCCATGCTGTGCACGGACCAGCTTTCTAGTTTGGTTCAGTGTTTTTAATAGGGAACACTCTTGAGGAAGAAGTTTTTCGGGAGTGTGTCCATGAGCAGGTCCAGGGGAATTCCCCTTATTTTGAGGCTGCCATTCTTTTCTGAAAGCTTGGTTTAGTGATGTGCTCTTGCCTGTCCATGCCTTGTTTTTGCCTTGTTCATAGGATGGGAAATGATGGTAACAGTCACAATGATACATACAAAGTAAAACATCTTTTGACTCCAGAATGCTTAATTCCTGTATTTAAAGCCTTCCTTACTGATTATGAACTCTCTATTTGAAAGAGAACATGCAACTTTACATATAACTTAACAATAACTTATACTAGGAAAGAGTTTGGGGGGGGGGGCTATTCTTTAATTCACATTTAATGGCCCTTATGTTTAATAATTTTGGAGTTTTAATAACTTGCAAATGTTAATTTTTCCCCCTTTTTATAATTCTGATTTTGGAAATGCAACTTTCATCTTTTTCTGAAATCCAGTATGATCCTCTCAAGGACAGATCGTCCAGACTCTCATCATTAGTATGTAGTGCATGCCTCTTTGTTAAATGTAGTTTTACTTTATAAACCCCTACTGATGCTAATAATGGATTGTGACTAACTTTCACAGGTTTGTTATGATGTTTGGGGGGAAACATATGACTCACAAAGCAAAACTGTTGTTTTGCAATTTTGGCATACTTAACATTTGAATAATATTTTTCTTTTATAATTTCAGGATTAGATAAAAATTATTTTCTTCCCTCTTCAATATTATGATTGGTAGTAATATATTTTCTTAAAATGATGGCATGTGCTCATTATTCAGCTGGCATGTGCTCATTATTCTATTAGACATGTTTCTAGCAGGATCTTGGTAGCTGCTGAGCTGTGGCAGCACAGGCTTCACTGTGCTTAACGCTAGGTGTCTCAGCTAGCAGATAGAAAAAGTCCAGCAGTGACAGGTGACTCCTGAAACATCAGTATTCACTAATTTTTTTCTTGACTTTTTTTTTTTTTTTTTTTAATGGCATGTCATTTTAGCTAAGTATAGCATGTTTTTATTTGGTTAATATTATGTCATTATATTGTCTGAATTTTTAAATGTATAAGACAGCTTTTAAAATGTCCAAGGAATTGTATGAAAGGAAAGGTACACATATTCAAAAAAGAGAAATGAATGTATAATTACATTACCTAGCTGTGCATGGCAGTAGGTTTGCCTAGAGCAAACTGTTGGTAGGTAGGACACCTTAGCTGCACTTCCTCATTTCCGGCGAGCAGTACATACCTAGCTTGGATTTCTTGTCTACACTTGACCTGTTTAGTACTGTTGCCGTCCTGTATCCCACATACATCCTTGGCTCTGTACTCCTAGGGGAAGTTCTGTATCAAGACAGTGCTATCTTCAAAAGACTCAAAGAAGGTTGTTATCTAATAATGCTGCTACTCGGGACAGCCATACCATCTGGCTCTGTACACTTGGGCAGTACATGCTGTGGGACCACTCACTAGGGTTAAGAGTACTATCTGGGGCAATGCATTATCATGCCCTTTGTTATCTCTGTCTTGTTTTTGTTGGTCCAAAGAACGATTCTTGTCACCTAAACCTTCATAAAGAAGATAGAAGGACTCAAATGAGGTGTGGAATGAAGGTCTTCATAAACATCCTGCCTGGCTCGGAGTCTTAATTAAGTTTTTGTTTTTGCTTTTTTGGCTAGGCACTGAGCTGGATGGCATGGGGTATGGGAGGGGAAATGCTGATGTGTAGAGGTGGTATACCTTAGCCAGTCCAGTGCAGTGGATCACTTACTAACTGATGGAATTGCATGTAGATTACTCTGTATCTCATGTGGACCTTTCTGTCAGTAACTTCATTAAACTATTTCTCAAAATTCACTGTGTGATCATTAATCTTCAAATATTTAACTTAAAAAATATACTTCCAGAATCATTCTTACAGTCCCTCTTATGGAATGAAGAAGAGATCTTCTGGTTCCCATAAAGACCCACTGGTTAGTTCTGTTTTGTCTCCTGTCGCAGCATGCTGTACTGCTGTAAGATTCACTCTTACTTTTAGGGAACTTAAGAATTATGACTGCTTTGGTGTGCTCCTAAGGCATCATTGAAATTTGATAGTCTACTGAAGCATGGTTTATCAGAACCTTATTTAAAAATAAATTTGCTATAATTTATAAGGATTAATATTAAGTTAATATATGTTAACCTCAGGGACTAGAGTTAGGAAGGTGTTCATCACAAGAAGCTCATTGACAGCATATTTTCATTTATGATCTGTCCTCTGGAATATACCTCAAGAATAGGTTAGTGAGATTCTTATCCTTATTTTAGAAATTTAAATTGATTTAGTTGTGGTAGTATAGGCAGTATCAAACTCACAAATGGGTTTCATTCTGAAAGTCTGTTAGTAGGTCAGATTTTGGGAAGTTGGAATGAATTTTCTGGTAGAAACATTAAGGCATGTGATGGCAGAGTTCCCATGCTGTCTTGCAGAAAATTCTTTTAACTTACAATATAATTAAATTGCGTAACTAATAGTGCTCTCCAATCCAGCCACATTGCTTAGCAACATTTCTTGGGGGGAGGGGGGTGTGAGGGAGGAAAGGGTTATTCAGAATGCCCATTTGGGGGGCTAGGTACACCTCTTTCCTGTTAGGCCGCACAGTACTTCGGGAGGAAGTGTAGTTCCAAGCTCCCTGCTCTGACCATTGCTAGTGTGGAGAGAGGGTCAGGAGACCTTGGCTGGTAGAAAGGAGGGAAGGAAGAATTTAATGGAGAGAACTTAAGTGAGAAATCCTGGAGGGTGGGAGCTCTGAGGAGAGGTGAGTCATGGGGCCTCCTTGAAGGTGTGTGTGGTACAGGAACGTAGGATCAGGAGTGGCAGGGATGGGGAAGGCGTCAGGGATTGCCTAAATTTCCTTAACCTTGGACAAAAAAGATGGCTGGAGAAGTTAGAAAGAGAATTTTCTCTCTTTCAAGTCACCACAATACATAAAATTACTGTTTTGTATAGTGTATTGAAAATGAACACCGTAGACGGTTTAGACCAAACCATATTTAGTGTGCTCTCTCTTTCTCCCTGGTAATTTAATTTGATCAGTTTATTTTGACAAATAATAGGACTAGGAGAAGCTTGGAAAAAATTACTGTTTAATAATACCTGTGTCATTGCCAAGTGGACTTAAAAAATGGTAATTATTCAGTTGTCCTGGGTTTTTCAAGGGCATTCCTGGGTATGACATGGGAATATATCACTTATTATTTCCATTCAGTTTGCCTGTACGTTTATAATCTTGTTTTTACAGTAAAAACGATTAAGTACTTGGTTTGCAAACAATTAACCTTCACTCGTGGTTTTGGAGATATAGGGGTTGGCAATATTAGATTTTGCCTTTATATGTTGTTAAATTAACAACATTTAACTTAAGAAAAATGTGTTTAATTTGGTTTTTGCAGAGCGGCCTCTACTTTGACCAGAGAAACTATAGCAGTCTTAGACATAGCAAACCCAGCTCTGCCTACTACACTCGGGTTTGTCCATAGTTTTTTGTCTTCGTGTGTTTTATCCAACTTTAACACATTTGTAATCTTCTATTTTGCATTTTGACTAGTTAAAACTAACCTGTGAATGGTTGTGTATATACTAGTTTGTGGTAACTGAATTCATACAGCCATATAGTAAATTTAAACTGTGGAAATTATTGAATCACCATGCTTGCAAATGAGTACCATTTTCTCCTAATTTTTTCTAATGAAAAATATTTAACACAAAAAAGTTCACAGAATTATGTAGTAACCACTTAGTAACTACCATTTAGATTCTACAATTAACATTTTACTCTCTTTCCTTTACCATATAATTATCTCACTGTCCTATTCATCCATCCATTAATTTAGTTTTTTGGGGGGATGAATTTCAGAATAAGTTGTAGGCATCACTGCACATGGATGGATGCCCTTTTAGTAAAAGCTTACATGTGAAAATTTACACTATCAATGGGATAGGAAGAATGTGATTATTTGTTCAATGTTAGAATCTTTCTTTTGTTTTTCAGGGCATTTGGCACATCATACATTTAAAATACCTCAAATACATGGCACACAGTACATTTAAAATATTTCAATTGTCCAGGCCTGCACACACAACTTAGATACTCTTATTTTCCATGTCTATTTAGGCTTAGTATAAAAGAACTAAAAATTGTGTCTTCAAATGACATTAGGAAAAGAGAGATTTAATTCCTTTTTAAGAAATGCTGTGCCTTGATAATGTAGGAATTCATTGTGACTTTAAATGATTAAACTAAGGCACTATGTCCATGGCTTGTTTTGAAATAAAGATTTTTCTAATCTTTTCTAAACACTTGGAAAAGAGTGTTTATAGCGATAACTCAGAGCTCATTTTTCTGGTTCCCCAATAAAAAGGCTAAGGCCATTTGGATTGTGTCATGAGATTACTGAAAACATCCCAGGAGGTGCTGGTGGCTGTAATGTGCCAGTTCGCCACACGCCCTGTGCCATGGCCCTCATTTCCTGAGACTCTTCTTAGCGTGCTGTCCCATCTCCTAGCATTAATGTTCACACCAATGGGACTTAAACACATTCATAGAAAACGATTCCCAGTGTTTTTCTTTCTTATCCCTTACAATTCCTACTTAAAAAGATTACTAATGATTAACATTTTCTCACTTTATGCATTACTTAAGTACTTTAAGCACTCAGGAGTTGCTAATGAATTATGGAGTATGGCGTAAACAAAAGTTTTTGCTCTCACGATGGTGAGAGCAATTCATTCTCTCTCTGTTTCTGAATAAGGCTATGCACTTAAACCTTAATTATTTGTTTTTGTTCCTCAGCAGTCTTCTTCCCTGTACAGTGACCCTCTGGCGACGTCTAAGAGCACCAGGGTTAGTACTCTCTGAGGAGTGTGTTGTCTTCAGAGCTCCCAGCTGCTTTTCTTTGGGTTAAGTCATGTGCTTTTTTCATAGGCCTCCCCTATTGCAAACTCTGGGCTGCTGAAAAGTGCCAGTCTGGTTTGTATCTTCCTCTGCCAACCTGTGTGTTCCTGGTAGGGCCGCTGCCATAGTGCTGGCTCTGGCTTGACATCTTTCCTCCCAAATAGTGAAGGACACGTGGCTTTAACGTTACGTGGCCCGCAGAATGTGCTGCTCGTGCTTAAAATACAAAACTTGAGGGGAGTAAAAATAAGCATGTTCTCTTCACAATGGTAGATACCGCTAGTTTTAGTAGGTTCTTGCTTAGGATTGGTTTTCTGTTGAGAAGAGAGATTATGCACGAGCCCATTACATTTGCCTACTTTTGTGAGATGGCTGTCCATGCTTGGGATGTCATATTTCTCTTTGGGACAGCTATGGTCTTGGCCACATTAATACTAGGTCCTAATAAAACAGCTGACTAAAAAAGCAAAACAATAGCTCTTTGTAAAATGTGAGCTATGGGTTGGTTGTTTTCAAGCTGTTTGTTGTGTTATGGCCTGTTCTAGTGGGCTAGGAACCTGCGGCTTTATAACTTAATTTTATTGTGACGGGGCAAAATGCTTTGGACCTCACCTTTTCTGCTCTATTTCCTCTTTTGAAAGGATAAATTCATAAATGTTAGTTCTTCTAGTTTCATGTGGCCAGTTTGATTAAAGGAAATACTGTAACCAGTGTGCTTTTTAAATGAAGTGTGAGCTTGAAGTTTTAATGAGATTGGTGCAGGAATTTATGCATGTAAATGAATGTTATCACCTTCACAGTCTTCCCCTTGGGAGACTGTACACATTCTTCAAAACTTTTTTGGAACTGAGCACTGCAGAGAAGTTAGGACATTTTGAAAATAACGTTGATGCTTAGATACATGGTATTTCTTTCCTTCTTTAGGTGTCATTGTATGATGGTGGACTATATAACCCTTATGGTTCTCGAACTGTAAGTCTTAATGGGGGGAGGTGGTGAGGAGAGTGATGTGTGGGTGGGCACAGTTTACTTACAAAGAAAAGGTAATTTAATCCGAACTGTAATTATTCTATAAGCTGTGATCTATCAGCTGGCCAACTGTAGCTCTCACCCAAGCTGTGAGAAAGCGCCCATTGGAAATCATCTTAAAGTGTGAGGGATATAATAGAGAACCTCTTTTCTTGTTCATCAGTTCTTCAGGAAGAGGATGAGAGTAGTGCTTCTCAGGGCCCACCCCCTCTTTTTCCTCCTCCCTTGGGTTGGCAGATCTTGAGAGTGGGAGTGAGGTGGAATTCCAGATCAGGGAATAACCTTAATCCTGAGAGCCAGGAGCTAGTTAGGTTTAAGGCCACTAATATATTCCCAGCAGAACAAGGAGTTGATCATTATTATAAAACCTTTCTTCTTGGAAACTTTATAGCCATCTGAATACAGTTATTACTCATCAAGAACAAGTTCAGCCCGAAGCAGTCCTGTGGTGAGCACTTGGCCTCTTTGCATGCTTTGTAGAAACCTTTGGTTAATCTGTACGCACAGTTTAGAAGATTGAGGATGTGGTGGGTTTCACTCCGATGCATGGATTGTCGTTTTCGTTCGGCATACAAACTCAAGTACTAATTTGTCCTAATTAGTGGTTTCTGTATGAATGTGACTTGGCATGTAATTTCTTAAATGAGTCTGGAATCAGTGTCATTAGAATTTTTTCTAAAATTATATTTAATTGTCATTTGTGTGGAACTTCTTGTGTCTTTGGAAGTCATAGTTCAGCATCTAGTCGGCTGCCCTGTGTTTCTCTTTGCACCTCTGTTTCCTGCTTTGAGCCATTTCACTTGCTTGCCAGCACTTTAATCGCTGGGGTGGGAGAAGAAATAAAAGCTGTTGTTTCATAAAAGCCAAAACTGCAACAATTATAATCATCTAATTGTTCCTCAATATTAAAGGCTTTTTTCTTATTTTGTAAAAGTAATATTAGCTCAATTAAAGTCCTGGGTAAAAGTCTCCTCACCTTTCCCCTCTATTTCCATTCCTTAAACACAACCTGTATAGTTGTATGTCCTTTCAAAGATATCTTATGCATATGTAAGCATTCTTTATTTGAACAGTATGTACATGGACTCACATCTACTTGCTCCTCATTTGTTTTATTTATTTTAAGTATGTTTGTATTATATATATAGAATAATTTCATTCTTTTTTTAACATTTAAAATATTTTTTTTAAAGTAAACCACATTCCTTTTTCCACTGAATGCCTCTTAGAGTTAGTTTTATGTCAGGACATTCTTTTCTTTTTTAAAAAAATTTATTTCAGAATAGAAGGGAGAGGAGAGAAAGATAGAAACATCAGTGATGAGAGAGAATCATTGATTGGCTGCCTCCTACACACCCCCTACTGAGAATTGAACCTACAATCTGGACATGTGCCCTTGACCGGAATCAAATCTGGACTCTTCAGTCCACAGACCTACGCTCTATGCACTGAGCAAACCCGGCTGGGGCCAGCACATTCTTTTTATTTTTTTATTTTATTTATTTATTTATTTTTTTATTTTTGAAACTTCAAAAATGCTTTATTCAAAGTAATGTCCATCGCTAGCTATACATTTCCCCCATCTCTCAGGTAATTTGTGGATACCATCCTTAATGGTGATATATTATTCCATTAATACATGGGCAATACATTTAGAAATTATTTCTCCTAATGTTGGAAATTCAGGCTGTGAGATTTTTGCTACTACAGACACTTGTACAGGGAACATTCTTATATATTTTTGTGTACTTCTATTAGTAGATCTTCAAGGTAAATTGCTAATCATGAAATGGGGAGATCAAAGAGTATATACATTTCACCATATTGCCCACCAAAAAGACTGTACTAACTTATAGTTCCAATAGCAAATTATGACTTTAGGAGCTACCTTGTTTTTCTTGGCAGTGTCGAAATTGAAGAAATTATTAAAGCAGTTTTTTAATGGTCAACACATGTTACTTGGTTGAGTGGAATATTTAAGCTATCTGGGCTTTCTTATACTTTCTTGGCCCTGTCCTCCTGGCATTTCCAAGTGGCACTTCTCAAGAATTCTCCTAAACACACACAAAATTACTCAGAGGTGTTTAAGGAGATTAAAAAAAAAAAGCTTTTTCGCATAAGTAAGTGTACTTTTAATCCACCCTCTAATAAAATTCTACTTGTCAGTTCTTGGGCCTGGTAGCATTTTTAATGTCTCAAGTATGATGGCCTCTTGCAAACAAAGTTATTATAGTATGTTTTCATCAAGTTTAGAATCTTTTCCTTGTGTGCTGGCAAGATACCGTTTCATTTGCAAGTTGGGTTCAGAGTTACTATCTTAGTGATACCAGAATGGTTTCTTAGTGATGCCAGAATGGAGATAACCTACACATGCTGAGGATGAGCCTTTGTACTGCTGATGAGACAGGAAGAAAAGTGTAGGGTGACTATAGAAATGTCTCCACTAGTTGCTTAGGAATGAATAAAGAAAATAAGAACATCATTTCAGTGTAATACTGGTAGGAAATCTGTCTTTGACTTATATTAGTTCACTTGAAAATATTTTTTAAAGTTCTCAAATTAAAACATTAAATATATCTATTGATCCTATGGGATCCCAAAGAGCCTAAAGGTTTTAAAAGCATGAAAGCTGGATTTGGCTGGTTTACACATGCCTCCCCACTCCCTTTTTCTTTAACTTAAATAAAAGACAAAGTACTATTTTATTCTTTGCTCATATTAGAAGTGTTTTTTTTTATTTTTTAATGATCATTTATTATATCTTCAAACAGCTTTTTTTTTTAATGATGCACAGTAGGTGGTGCCAATTATAATGCTCATAGAGAGTGTGTGAATGCTTCCCAAATCTTACCTAATGTCCTTACAATCATGTAGGACCTGTAGTGAAATTGCATCTTTTTCATTATCTGCGTTTAATATCTATAGTTTATCGATGACACTGCAAGCATTGCGTCTTCTGGTTGTTCCAGTCACGGGCGAAGGGAGAATGCGGTGAGCGTGGTTTGCATGCAAATATACACAAATTTTAACATCGCACCATTGTGGATCATATATGACATCTGAGGGAAAAGTGAAATTTGTATCTGACAAAATGAGCATTTTCTTCTGATTTAACTTAAATGAATAAGTTGCCTTCAAAAATGTGTTTCTGAGTACATATTCTCTGGCTTCATAACCTTTCATTACTAACTTGCTTCTTCACACCTCTTCTGTGTTAGTCATTGTACATTTGAAAGATTTTTTTCTTTTTATTCTTTGTTGCTGTTTTATGCATATTTATGTGCACATTGCGCCAAAAACAAAAGTTTCTCAAGCAAAGTTAATGCTTCCACACTGTATAAAACTCATAACTATGGAATATAAAGCATGTGGCCATCAGTCTCTTTCTTTGTTGTGTATTTAACCATTGTTTATACATCTTTTAAAACCTGTGAACTTTTTAAGAGCTTCTGATGGCAAAATTTTTAAATTCTGGCCTTAGAATTCAATTAGAGTAATAATTGTAAAGACAACAAATAGCTGTGTTAAAATACAAATTATATAATTTCAGTTTACTCTTTTAATAAAGCTGGAAGTTTTATGGAACTGATGACATTTTTGCTTTATTTAAGAATTAATATGAAAAATACATTGGTGAGGATGATGTGTCATCTTAGAGCTAGAGAAAAAAAAGATCCCAATAAGTAAGAGGCTAGAATTCCTTAAAGAAAAATAGAAGGCCATTTAATGAGTTGTGTTTTGTGAAAGATTGTAAACTTGAAGTTTCATAAAGAAGGGAACACCAAGTGTTTGTGAGATTTGTTGTAAAAAAAAAACCCCACAAAACACAAAAAAAACAGCAGTCTAGCCCTAGCCAGTTTGGCTCAGTGGATAGAGTATTGGCCTTCAGACTGAAGGGTCCCGGGTTTGATTCTAATCAAGGGCATGTACCCAGGTTGCAGGTTCCTCCCCAGCCCAGGCCTGGTTGGATGCATCCAGGAGACAACCAATTGGTGTGTCTCTCTCACATCAATGTTGCTCTCTCTGTTTCAACCCCTCCCACACTCTAAAAATCAATGGAAAAATATCCTTGGGTGAGGGTTTAAAGAAAACAATAAACCCAGCTGTCTAATTAAAGGCGGTCATGGTCCATTAGCAAGCCAGTTTAAATGTCCACACTCAAAGCTGAAGGAGAAAGAAAAATCCAAGACATCTATCTGAAAGCACCTTAAAAAGTGATGGGGTAGAAAGGCAGGGACTTTTATTATTTTTTATAACAAAAAATTATTTTTAAAATTTTCAATTACAGTTGACTCAGTTGTACAACATAGTGATTAGACATTTATATACTTTATGAATTGATCACCCTAAAGGGTTTAGTACCCATCTGACACTATACATAGGTATTACAATATTATTAACAATATTCCCTATGCTGTACTTTACATCCCTATGATTATTTTTGTAATTGTGGGTTTTTAAAAAAATAATATGTTTTCATTTTTAGAGAGAGATGAAAAGACAAGGATAGAGAGATAGAAACATCTATGAGAAGCATCATCCATTGGCTGCCTCCTGCATGCCCCCTACTGGGGATCGAGCCTACAACCTGGGCAATGTGCCCTGATTTGTACTTCTTATAGAAAGAGAGGGACTTTAAAATAATGGTGCCTGGGCGTGAACCGTTTTTACAACTTATTAGTGTGTTAATGTAAATTTCTTCTCTTTTTTAAAAAAAATGTATTTTTATTTATTTCAGAGAAGAAGGGAGAGAGAGAGATATAGAAACATTAATGATAAGAGAGAAGCATTGATTGACTGCCTCTGCATGCCCCACACTAGGGATCGAGCCTGCAACCCAGGCATGTGCCCTGACTGGGAATCCAACATTTACTTCCTGGTTCATAGGTTGGCATTCAACCACTGAGGCACACCAGCTGGGGTAATGTCAATTTTTTTATTTTTACAGTGGATGTTAATATCTTCGTAGGTAAGCTTAATATGTGAATTAAATAAATTACTACATAGGAAATAACTATCAAAATTCTGAGACAGTAGGTACAAATAAAATATTAGGTATTTTTAAATCAAGTATTACTGTTACTATGAATAAAATTATTACTGCTTGGTCATATTAACCCTTGGCAAACCTTTATAGCTGTAAGCCTTCTTTGTCTCTGTGGATGGGCTTCCATATTCCCTTCTTGGAAGGGAAGAGGTGTTTTGTTTTGTTTTCCTCTGTAAGTCCATTTACCTTTCTTTGCATTATATATAATATATATTTATTGTGGGCCCAGCTGTTGGCGGCCTAGCAAGGGCCGAAGAGGACTCAGGGCACTGGGAGTTTTTAAGCAAGGTGATCAAAGCTGAGGCAAGAGATAGCTGATGAATGAGGGGGAAAATGTCATTTATTAATTCAACAAATGTTTATGAAGTATCTGTTATATGCAAGGCACTGTGTTAAGTGCTGGGACTAAGGATAAGCCAGCCCAGATTTCTGACTTCATGGAGCTTATATTCCAGTAAAGAAATAGAAAATAAACTAGTAAAGAAAGGAACAAAGGAAGCAACCCTGGGAGTGTGGAGAGAACAAGCAGGTGATAAGACAGGCAACCCTGAGGGTGTGGCGTGTGTGTCTGTCCCTCTGGGTAGAGAAGGGTTCTCTGGGGAGTGACCTTTGAGCTGAGACGTGAAATGTGAGGCACCAGCTGCGTGAAGAGCTGGGAGAAGAGCTTTCGAGGTCAGTGCCAGAGTCTAAGGGGGGAAATAATGGAGTGTTTAGGAACCTAAGGAGCCAGTGGACTTCGTTATTGTGTTCTACAGTTTCAGGTCTTTAGAGGGAACTGTGGCAATCGGATAATGCAAAGATAATTTTGTGTTCAAGCATGTATGTGCTTAAAGGAGTTGATAGTTATAATGGATAATAAATTTGTGAAATGTAGTAGAGGCTTTAGGTAGATATTATACTAGAATCATCCTGATGATACATGTCTTAACATGGGACTGTGTGCTGGCCCTCAGGCAGCAAATGATCTGTCTAGAACTCCAGTTGGGATGAAGAAAGCTTATTTGAGGGAGCTGGGTTTATTTAGGAAGCCCTTTACATTTCTTCTTTACTTTTTAGAGTAGGCTAATTGCAGTAGTTTTCCTCATTTCATTTCATGATACTTTATCCCCCTATATGCCAATGTTCTTACTCTCTTCTCTTTTTTCTTAACCTCTAAAGCATCTCATTTTTTCCTGACTGAAAGGTTTCTGCTGCTGACTATTTCAGCCGCTCCAATCGCAGGGGGAGCTTTGTCTCTGAGGTGGATGATGCCAGTGTCCTGGATTTGAGCAGCGTGAGTGGACTGCATGGGGTGCATATGTTGTCTCAGGCATGTAACTAAAGTCTAACATGTTAGCTGTTTTAAAACTAGGAACTCAACTTACTGCCCAAGAGATGTTTATTTCAACACACTAGCATGAAATACAGTTACTTGTTTTGTTTTGGAATGTATATATGGATAAGTTCTGATTTTTAAAAAACTTTTCTGTTGAAAATTTCCCCCATAAAAAGAAAACCCAGCAGCAGCTGCAGCAATGCAGTATTTTTCCAATTGTGTTTCATCTTTTTCTCCCCTTGCCCTCCTTTCCCTCCTGAATTATATTAAAGCAAATCCCACTCATCATGTCTTTTCCCAATAAATAGTTCAGTATGTCTCTCTACTGAACTTTTGAGAATTTTTTCATATTCACCATACCATTATTTTATCTAATGAAATTTAAAACAATTCTTTAAAACCGTCTAATACCTAGCCCATATTTAAATATTTCTGATCTGTCTTAAAATTTTTCTTTCCTTTTTGTTTTTATGAATCTATAAAGTTCTGGGTAAACTTTGGAGGTTGAACAATAAAATGTACTACTTAGTAAAATGTCACTAACTTATGGTAACTGGGAAGAATGTGAATAGATCTTAAATGTTTGGAGTATAGCATTGCTGTGAAGAAATGCCTATCCATTGTTTTCACATTCATCATGGACTAAGTTTAGGGAAGACTGTCCAGTAGATGTGTTGGGGTATTTGTCTTAATGAAAGAACCGCACCCGCACCTCTGCCTGGTTTACCTAACAGCCTTTCTACCCCTGACACCTCCTCTTCGTGGCTGGCATTACTGCAGTGTTGTTTTGCCCTGGGACCAGCACACTCCTGATTGCTAAGCACTTTGAAGCAGATGAGAGGCCGTGTTTCTACACAGGAAAGTTAGACAGTTTTTTGTTGTTGTTTTTTTAAAATATATTTTATTGATTTTGTACAGAGAGGAAGGGAGAGAGATAGTTAGAAACATCGATGAGAGAGAGTCATCGATCAGCTGCCTCTTGCACACCCCCTACTGGGGATATGCCCGCAACCAAGGTACATGCCCTTGACCGGAATTGAACCCTGGACCTTTCAGTCCCCAAGCCGATGCTCTATCCATTGAGCCAAACCAGTTTCGGCTAGACAGTTTCTTAATGGAGAGATAATTATTTATGTTTAGCACGTCATGGATGTATTTAAATAGCTATTTCTGAATGACTTTAACCACAGAAAGTAATTTGGAGTGTGGTCTGTAAGTATTCTGCATTGGTGGCTCTCAGACATGGCTGTGTAACAGTCCCAGCTCATCCTGCGTCAAGTCAAGGAATCTCCGCACACAGAAGACGGAAATAATGCCTTTTTCTGATTGACCTGAAATAAAGCCTTTTTCTGATTCACTTAGTACCTTCCCTGTTTTTATCAAGATGTAAATAAATTTAATTTATTGTGCTTACGTTTTCTCTTAAAAACTTTTACTTCTACTAGCCTCTAATTTGTGATGTCTGAATTAGTGGTCATATAGTTATTACATGTATTTCTTGATAATTTATTTTATTGACTACACAGAAGTGAAAGGTTGACAATTTTTATTTTTATTTATTTTTTAAAATATATTTTACTAATTTTTTACAGAGAGGAAGAGAGAGGGATAGAGAGTTAGAAACATTGATGAGAGAGAAACATCTATCAGCTGCTTCTTGCACACCCCCTACTGGGGATGTGCCCGCAACAAGGTACATGCCCCTGACCGGAATCGAACCTGGGACCTTTCAGTCTGCAGGCTGATGCTCTATCCACTGAGCCAAACTGGTTCGGCGAGGTTAACAATTAAAAAAAAAAAAAAATTCCCATACACCTACTAATTAAATATAACTTTTCTTTCCCCAGGTAGTTATTTTTATTTATTTACAAGTTTTAAAATAAAAATTGTACATATTTAATTAAGGTTTATAATACGATGACCTGACATACACACACACAATATGCATAGCTTGTATGTATAGCAAATCATGCTGTACACCTTATCATATAAGTGAAAGAATCTCTAGAGCAGGTTGCATATCAGGTCAGCTCTTGTAAATTTTATAGCTTGTGAGTCAATGGTATATATGTGTGTATATATACTTTTTTTTTTCATTACTATAGCTACAATGCTCTGTTTTCATTCAAAAAGTTTCAGTGTATTGTGGTTTTTATATTTTTAAGTGGTTATCTAAGAACCTACACATATAATATCCTTAATTTTGCCTCTTGGCAAAGCCTAAAATATTTGCTGGTCATCTTTCTATTGTCATCTAAAACATTGTCTCTAATATTTCCTTTAAAGGGTATCCTATAGTTTAGGTTATTGTAGACAAATAAAAAGTGGACCTGATGGTATTTTCTGGCTTCTACACTGTGGATCAAATATATGTGTGTAGTCAGCTAGTTTATGACCGCTAGCTAGAAGACTCTTAAAAAGAGTGCCAGGCCCTGATTTTATACAGTATTATGTTGTTCCAGCCTCTTGTCTTTTCTTCTACATTGTGTTCTTTTCTGTCCTGTACATCAGGCTGGATTAAAGGAAAATAATGTAAATGTACTTATTTCAGTTTTACTGATTGTTAATAATTAAACCATTTCTGAATGGAATTCTTGGCCTGTTTTCTTTCAGGAGAGTATTAAATTAATTGTTCCCTTCACTCTTACACTTGGAGAATCTGATCTTTTTTTTCTTTTTTCCCCCAAACAGAATTTCTGAATAGCATTATCAAGTCAGTATATGTAAATTAGAAGTTAACAAAGATATATATAATGATTATATTAAACAAACTATAGTATATTTTAAATTATCTGTTAACTAACTAACCATAGGTTAAAGTAAAGTTTAAAGGTCCTCTTAATCTTTTTTTTAAAAAATATATTTTATTGATTTTTTACAGAGAGGAAGGGAGAGAGATAGAGAGTTAGAAACATCGATGAGAGAGAGTCATTGATCAGCTGCCTCTTGCACACCCCCTACTGGGGATGTGCCTGCAACCAAGGTACATGCCCTTGACCGGAATCGAACCTGGGACTCTTCAGTCCGCAGGCTGATGCTCTATCCACTGAGCCAAACCGGTTTCGGCAGGTCCTCTTAATCTTTGAAGAAGCAGAGTTTCAAAGATTTAACAACATATACAGTAGGTCCTTGGGTTACGTTGGAGATCTGTTCCTATGGTGCAATGTAAAGTGATTTTCGCCATAAATCAGAACCCACCTACATAAGCACCTACGTCACTCACATGGAGCAGTAATGAAGTGAAACGGTAAAAAAAAATTAAAAGAAAGATAATTCCTGACAGGGACTAATTGCAATATAAAGTTTGCTATCATGTACACTCTTTTTTTTGTACATTAATACTAATATGAAATATTACAAGCCTGTTAGCTGACTCTCTATTTACAACCACTAAGGAGAAAAATGACTTTTTCTTGATGGGAAAATTACCCATTTAATTATTTAAGAGCACAGTGGCACAATATTTACTTGAAATTTTTTGAGAATAATTGGCTATAGTTAGTATTAATGAACAAGTCCTCAACGCCTTACTCTAGGGCAAAATAAAAGCTTTGCTTAGTTTTTTTTTTAATCTACCTTTTTATTAGGCACTTGATTTTTTTTTCATTATTTTCATTAATTTTCACTATTGCAGTTTAATTTGCTTGTTTTACCGAATTGTGATCATATAGTACATACAGCCTTTGTTTTCTGATTTCTCACTAATCTATAGTCATTTTTCATATTAGTGCATATCTTTTTTCCATATTACTTATATACAATTTTTAAAATCAGCTCTAGTTGCCATGTTTTACATTAGATCTTCAGCGCTTATTCATCTCTTAGCTGAAGGTTTATGCCCTTTTTCAAATCCTTCCCTATTTTATACTTTAATATAGTAAACACAATTACATTTTATTCATTTAAAAAGCCTTTCAGGATCTGGCATACTCTTTGGGCAGTACAGCTATGCTATGTAGACCTCCTGGCTGTCAGCAATGGGCTTTAGAATACCAAGTCAGCTAGCATGCTGTTGAAATGAAGCTCAGCACATAATGCAGCACAAAGGCTGAGCAGTGAGAACTGAAGAGTCTCTGGCCAAGTCACTGCAGCTAAAATAACTGTACTGCGGCATGGCTGCTCTAGCATTTTTTGCTGGCTTTACAATCCCCGAGGTCTGGCACATCACCAGTTTATGTTGCGACAATTGGGATCTGTCAGAAGACAGTGAAAGCAGTAGAATCAACATTGCGATGGACTAGGTCAGTAATGCAACCTCTGAAATGTAAGTTTATTCCAAGTTGACTATTAAAGAATGGGAGGGTTGGGGTCATTTTTGTGGGAGGGGAGATATGAGACAGAATTTCAAATTGACCTAGAAAAATGTCTAAATGCTGTTTTTCTTCTTAATTCATTAGTAGAAGAGAGTTGGGAGAGTGTCTGAGGAAAATAAGGCAGTTTAGGTATAGTATTTCTTTCACGCTAAAGAATGACACATTAAATATTAGGCTATGTATTTTATTAGTATAGATGTAATGGAAGGTTATTCCTTTTTTATGGCAAAGATTGCCATTATAAAAACTACCGTCATTACCTGATTGTTATAAAACATTTCATATATAGTTTTAAAAAATCAGAGTTAACTGAAATCAATTCCTTTCTGGAGTATTACAGCAAGAAGTAGCAAAAAGAGTTCAAAGTCTAAGGCAGTACTAATATTATTGATATACTACTCATAATAAAAAGTATTTACTGAGCAGTTGAATGCAATAATATAATGAAAAAGAACAGAAAAACTTTAAAATATGAGGAAGTTAGAGTGAAGTGGTCTGAAAAGAGCCAGAAATAATGACGTTTTGTGTTTAAATAATTAACCAAGAAAAGTTCTTAAATCTTTTTTCTAGATTGAGCTGGGACGGTTGGTTCGGTAGCTGGAATCTGGGTATATTTATATTTACTTAAATCTATGTGAATTTTTTCGCATCAATTGTAACTGGGACAGTATATAGAAGTAAATAATACGAATGCTTAGGCTAAAATTCACAAAACTGAGATCTGCATTCAGTTCTGGCATTTTGTAGTTGTTCAACCTTTCACCCCTGAATTTCTCTTTCCTCAGCTATAAAGTCAAGGTTTTTGACTAAACCTTTAGGGTATCTCACCTCTTTTTTAAAAAATATTTTTTTTAATTGATTTCAGAGAGGAAGGGAGAGGGAGACATAGATCAATGATGAGAATCATTGATGGGTTGTCTCCTGCATGCCCCCTACTGGGGATCGAGCCTGCAACCTAAGTATGTGCCCTTGACCAGAATCAAACCCCGGACCCTTCAGTCCGCAGGCTGATGCTCTAACGACAGTGCCAAACCGGCTAGGGCAAGGTACCTCACTTCTTGAAACACTGTCTCTAAAACAGCCTGAAAACCTATCAGCATATTAGTGCATATGCAACTGTTAAAATAGAGGTCAGTTTACAAGTAAAGATGGGATAAAAGTCGTTTTTCATTCATCCAACAAATTTTGAGTTCTATATGCCGGGTGCTATTTTTGCTGTTGAACGGATTACAGAAAAGAACACAGACATAGAGCTTACGTCAAAGAGAGAGGCATAAATAAATTATTAAATATTGGCCAGGAAGCAATAAATGCTATGAAGGAAAATGAAGTACTTTCTCTAATCTTTGAAACTTGATAAGGGAAAAAAGGAGATATAGAATGTATTTGGGACATTATTGTTAGACTTTTTTAAAGACTTGGGAGATGGTTGCCCTTGGATTGAGAATTGGAGGTCAGGTTATGATGTAGTGGGGAAAAAAGGCTTATTTTGAATACTCTTTTGTTGTGCTCTTTGATTAAGAAAAATGTTTGTATGTATGACAAAAAACAAAACAAAAACACCACAAAACAAAATAGAACAAAAAGACAACTGAATCCTTAATGCTATGGGGAAATTCTTTTTGATGATATATTTAACATGCTTTAGTCCAATCTGAACTTTTTTGGCTAAATTTACTAGTCTTATCTATGTGTCTTGTGTCCTAATAGTGTTTAGATAATAAAGTTTTTAACTTTTGGTTGTATCAGACTTTTCCTGTGGAAGTGTACAAGTTTTTTTGTATTAACATTTGCAATACTAAAATTGAAGTTTATGTATAATTTTCATTAATGTGTTCAAATTCCATGAAAAGAAAATCTATTTAAAAGTTGTAAACTTTTGCTAAAGAAGAGCTTGCTTGCTTGCTTGCTTCATGTCTCCCTTAGGGTAAGAATTTAAGTTCTTGACCTTTTGTCTTATATATTTCAGCTTTTATTTCAGTTTTAGCATGTTTACTTTTAGGTTCCAAACATCAATTGAACTTGGAGAACTCAAATGAGGTCACTTCTTTTTCCCCCCTAAAAAAATCAACATGCCTGAGCATCTTTTCTGATTTTTATCTCTGTTCTTTTCTAGTTGGATGAGAAATCTGACAAACAGTATGCTGAAAATTACACAAGAGTGAGTATATAAAGTCCTAAGGGAATGAAACTCTCAAGGTCAATTACACTTACTTTCATTCTTGATTTTACTACAGTTGAGCTGATGGTTTTCCTCTTCCTCTCTTCATGTATTTCCTGTCCTTGACCCCCAAATTCCTCTGAGTTTGAATCATGTGAAGCACTGGGAAGAGTAAAGACACTGCATTTTATTTCCCTGAATGTCACCTCCTAAGCTTTTGGCTGTTGTTTTGATTTTCATTCCTCTAGAATTTGATCCCGAGAAGAAGACACTGCAGATGAAGTGTCTTAAGGAATGGTAGTGACACCCGCTAAGATCTTTTCCCCCTTTAAGATAAATTATTTCTTTGAAGTAAAATAGCTTCTTTTCTGGGAGTTGCTTTGTGTCAAAGTCTCTTTCTTCCAGAAGTATTTTCTGATAGTCTTCTTAAGGAAATTATTAGGATTACTTTTATGCTGTATCCAAACAAGATTTGCCAGTTCTGTCCAGTTGAAATATAGTGCAAGCCACCAATGTAAGCCACATGTATGTAAGTTTAAATTTTCTAGTAGCTACATTAAAACAGTAAAAGAAACAGGTAAAATTAATTTAAATAATATATTTTATTTAGCCCAAATATCCAAAATATTTTCAATGTAATCAACATGAAAATTTATTGAGATATTTTATATTGTTTTTTTCTGCGTTAAGCCTTTGAAATCTGGTATGTATTTTGCACTTAAAAAAATTCTCAATTTGGACTAATCACATTTCAGGTGCTCAGTAGCTACACAGGGCTTGTGGCTACTGTTTTGGACAACATAGATCTATGCCATTTTTTAATCCAACAGCATAATTGCCCATTTAAACTAATTGTGGGAAGCGCAGTCTAAATCATAATGATGCCTAATACTGTTGCTCTCAGCTGCAGATAGCATCTCTGACTCTAACAAAATATTAGAAAAAGAAAAGATTCTAAAGAAGCAGCTTCAGGAAATAAATAAGAGGACTGCTAATTCGCATACCAATTACAAAATTCTAAATCTAAAAATTAACCTGATGTGTTCACCCCAGTATGTTCACAGTGTAGCAAAGATAAACTTAGAAAACAAACCTTCTTAGTCATTGTGAGTTCTAGGTTCCATGGAGATGTTTTGAGTGACGGGAGTTATGCTCGTAGTGCTAAGCCCTTCTATGGGACCCCTCCCCAAAGCCAACCTGAACTGCCTGGGGTTGCACTTGGGTAACTTCTCGTCCACACTATTAGATCTCCTTCACCACTTGGTCTTTTTTAGTTTCTACAGCAAACATTTTTAAAAGAACAAGACTTAAGAGTGTCATATTTCTTTTCTCTAGCCTTCATCTCGAAACTCTGCCTCAGCAACAACCCCTCTGAGCGGAAACTCATCCAGACGAGGAAGCGGGGACACCAGCAGCTTAATAGACCCAGACACCTCATTAAGTGAACTGCGGGTAAACCACAATTTTTGGTGGCTTTTCAGAAACAATTTTTTGGCTTCTTTGCAGTATACGAGTATACTGAAACTATTTAATATTTAATGTGATGCAATAGAAAGAAAAGGAGTATGAGTTTTTTTTCCCAAGAAAATTATTAATACAGTTTAAGAATGTGACTTTTGTCTGAACTGAAGGAGAATGGTTAATTTTTCTGTTCTCTTTCAAGCCTCAGACTTTTCTTGTGCTTGCTCTGTACTTGTATTTCTTCGAGAGAATGACTTCCTTGAAAGAAATGAGATTTTTGTAACTGGCTCCCATCAAAACCTCTATAAATGTCTGTTGAATGAATCAATGAATAAAAGACAGACAGACCCACTGAGGAGAAACTGAATGGGGCAGAGGAAGTACAATACAGAAACTGTGTGTATTGGCCTGGGTAATTGCTCCTGCCTGTATTGCAGAATTGTATTTAAGGCACTGTGGCAGTTATTTCCCACCGAAATCAAGCATCCACACAGGGCCAGGACTAAGAGAAAGTATTTTCCATTTAAAATGCAACCTGCTTCACTTTTCTCCTAAGGATTATGGTAACATTTGGAGCAAATGCTTGATCTCCTTAGGATACTCTCATTTGACATTGTGTTGAAAGTTTTATGTTTAACTTCCCTCGCTTTACTTTCTTTCTCCCAAATTAATTGTGATCAGTAAGTTATTAAAAAAGTTATTAAAAAACTGTTCATATCCATTTATTACATTTTAAAAGGCTTCTGCACAAGCCAGTAAAATTTGCTGCTTAGAATTAATTTACTACATATTTTACTTGTTCTAGCTAAAGATTATGCTAAATATTTAAGTGATTTATAAAATTCTAAAATTTATGTTAAAATGTTATAATTTATGTAGTTTCTTTTTTCTATATACAGCCCACCCCCATTTGCTAATGCTGTTTCAACATGGGTTAATGCCAAGAAAATGTTTAACTCCTTAGATACATTCTCCAGCCCTGCTCCAGCCCCCCTGTCACCTGATCTGCTTGCCCTTTGTAGTGGTTGGGAGTGGCAGTTACATTTGTGTACTCTAATTTTTTTGGCTTTTATTCTGGAATATTCAACTGCAATTCACATTTTCATCTGAATTCTTTGAGACTTAAGATATGTTTGTGGATGGTTTTATGCAACGGTTCATTCCTATGTCCTGCAGGATATCTATGACCTTAAGGACCAGATACAGGATGTAGAAGGGAGATACATGCAGGGGCTTAAAGAACTAAAGGTATCAGGGCCCCCTCTGCAGCCGAAGCATGCTGTCTGTACGCAGAAGTGTTGGTAATGGTGGCTTCACGAGTTCTATTAACCCCCCTGCACATAGCTTCACTAACAGTGTTCGTCTTTTAAGCATGTGCTTAGCCTGCAATGCATAGGAAAGGCGAACTTCCAATCTCTGCTTATGTTTAAATGTTTAGTGTATGATTTTTGGACTATTTAGTAATATTATACCTTACAGTTTTTAAACCTTGTAAAATAGTGTCTTAACCATACAAAATTGAATTGGGCAAACACCTAAAAAGTATTCTAAGAATTTTTTTTTTTTTTTTAACTGAGAATTGACCTTAAAATTCTTCCAAAGTAAATAGTGAGAGAGTATTGCCTGTGTCTGTCACCGAATTCTGTTAAAGGCAGGGAGGAAGGATCTAAGAACACTGTTATAAATATTCTCTCTGAAGGAAGGACTCTGAAGCATGAGGCCTGTGCTTGCTTGCTTTCTTGTTTTTAACCTGTAGATCAAAAAGGATTACACAGATTCAGTGCCTTAAAGAATTTGAAGATCAATGTCAATGGGCCTTATCTTGTCCAAGCAAGAATGGCTGCCAGTTTTCAATATAAGTGTTCATGTGAGGCAGATACTTTGGTTGTAAATGGCACTTGGTTATCTTCCCTCTGTTTTATTACGAAGTTAAAGCCTAATATGAGGAGATTAAGTTTCTCTGAACATATGCATATCCCGGTTTAAAACAGAAAGCACAACAGGCCTTTAAAAAAGCATAAGCAAGGCATTCAGAAAGCTGACTCTGGATAATGGGCAAGGGTTTCATCTGCCTCCCTGCTGTGATTGGAAGTAGTCCGGCTACCAGCCAGAATCTCCCTGCAGGTGATTATTGTCCATAAGGAACTTAGAGGTGAGACTCCTGACCAGAAAGCGTGGGAAGTCCTATGGAGACTGCCCGCGAGGGAAGCCTGGGAGCTGCTGGTGTGGCAAAGGGAAGCTGTCAGTAAGCATGAGGAGAATTAGAGTTAGAACACTACTGTGCTCAGTTAGTCTTACTGTGGTAATTTTCAGGACTTAATCTGGCCCTGCCTTCAAGGTTTTAGACATGACTTTTGGAAATATCTTGGATCAAGGGGGGAAGTCAATACATAAAATAAATACATTCATGTTAAATCTCATGTGTAATATAATGTACCAGGAAAGTAAGCAAGCCACTCAGGCATTTTCACTTGTTTTTTTATTTTATTTGAAACATTTTTTCTTAGCTTTAGATCTACCATTTATTGCATTTTTTGAAGGCAACAAAAGAACAGATTAAATGTATCTCAGACTTTGGACAGATAAGATCACTTTTTTTAATTTATGGTCAGCGTGTAATTGAACTTAACTTCAGGTTATATTTATCCTTGAAATGACTTTTAAGTGGAAGAAAAATCATTAAAAATATCTGATTGAAGCACGGTGATGTGATATATCTGTATCTATTAAAAAGGATGTCATGACTTTGTTTTTTTAAGTATGTCTGTCTTTGGGTGCTTTCCCCCACTTTACCCCATCCAGAATTATCTGAGTCTTGTTAAAACACAGGTTGCTGGACTCTACTCCCAGCTTTTCTTATTTAATGTGTCTGGGATGGGAATTAAAATTTGCAATTTTATTCAATTCCCAGATAATGCTATTGCTGCTCCTACAGAACCTACACTTTGAAAATCACTGACTTAATGTATATTTAAGTAAAACTAATTCTTAACGTGTCTCACTGTGTTAGCTAGATCACTAACACTACCTTGATATTTAAATTTAAAACAGTTGTTTGTGATCTTGTTTAAAGGAAGAGTACATTACGTAAGTTTTATGTCAGATTTCTTGTGCTATACATTGCATCTTGCATTTCTGCTTGAACTTGCTTCGATTCCAGTGTTCATGCAGTTATGCTTCATTTTAAATGGATTGAGTGTTGAGGAGAACTTTGGATGCTATTAGCCTTAAGATGGATCAGAATCATCCTAAATTCTGCATTATATTAAGATATTACTATATTTAAATTAGTATTCAATTGACTTTGCATGTATTTTTTATTGGGATTGTATTCCCAATTCTAGAATAAATGTTGCCTGTTAATAGAATCCTAGTTTATTAAACATCATTAAGTGTATATGTGTGTGTATCTTTACTGAGATATAATTCACATACCATAAAATTTACTTATTTACAAGGGTTTTGAGCAGAGCCACAGAGTAGTTTAACTATCACTCTAGTCCAATTTTAGAACATTTTTATTTTCCCAAAAAGAAACCTCTATCAGTCATTTCCCACTTCTTATCTCCCACTCACACACTCAGCCCTGGGTAGCCACTAATCTACTTTCTGTCTCTGTGGACTTGCCTATTCTGACATTTATATAAATGGAATCATACCATATGCTGTCTTTTGTGATTGACTTCTCATTTAACTTAATATTTTCAAGATTAATCCATGTTGTAACATGTATCTGTGGTATCTGTGTGTATTTTTGTATTTTTTTAATGTGTGTGGGTAATATTCCATTGTTGGGTTTACCACATTTTGTTTATCTCTTTGTCAGTTGATATACATTTGGGTTGTTTCCAATTTGTGGCTATTTTTGAATAATGCTGCTATGAATATTTTTGTGTACAAGTTTTTATATACACATATCTTCTCATTTCTCCTGGGTAGAATCATAGGAATAGAATTGCTGGGTCATATGAAAATTCTATATTTGCCATTTGGAGACTCTGCCAAACTATTTTCCAAAGTAGTGGCACATTCTCACTAGCAATGTAAGAGGATTCTAGTTTTTCCATATCCTCATCGATACTTGTTTTTGGTTTGGTTTGGTTTTTGTTTTTGTTTTCATTGTAGGTTATAGCCATCCCAGTAGGTCTGGAGTGGTTTTGATGTGCATCTCTCTAATTACTAATGATGTTGAGCATGTTTTTATGTTCTTATTGTACTTTGAGAGAAATATTTATTCAAATCCTTATCCATTTTTAAATTGAATTATGTGTCTTTTTTTATTATTGACCTGTAAGAATTCTTTATATAGTCTGGATACAAGTCCTTTATCAGACAAAAGATTTATAAATACTTCCATTCTACGGGTTGTCTTTTCACTTTTTTAATGGTATTGTTTGCCATTAAAAATTTTTATGTTCTATTTTTCTTTTATTGATAGTGCTTTTATTGTCATGTCTAAGAAGCCATTGCCTACTCCAGGTTTATGAATATTTATAGCTATGTTTTCTTTGAGAGTTTTATAGTTTTAGCTCTTAATTTAGGTCTTTCATTCATTTTGAGTTCATTTTTGTGTGTGATATGAGGTAGTAGTCCAGCTTCATTCTTTTGCATATGGATATTCAATTGTCCCAGCACTGTTTGTTGAAAAAATTATTTTTATTCCATTGACTGTCTGAATACTCTTGTCAAAAATCAGTTGATCATAAATATAAGAGTTTTGGACTCTCATTTCCATAGCATTAATCAACATTTGCACTAGTTATTTATTTCCAACAGTGATGACTTTTTCTATGTGAAATATTTTTTCTTTTTAGCTTTAAAAAAGCTACTAGGCAGTAGTAATCTACCAAATTAGACATAGTCATTAAAGAACAGACTTATAAGCTATTTTAGGCAGAAAACTTAGAATATAAAATTTCAAGCATTTTGTGGTAGTTCTTTTTTAAAAATTTTAAATTGATTTTAGAGAGAAGAAGAAGGAAGGGAGGGAGGGAGAGAGAGAGAAACATTGATACATTCATCGATTGCCCTCCGCACATGCCCCAATCAGGGATCAAACTCAAAACCTGGGTAAGTGCCCTGACTAGGAATTGAACATAATCACCTTGGATGATGCTCCAACCAACTGAGCCACTGGCCAGGGCATGGTAACTCTTTTATTAGAAATCATTTTTTTAATTGTTTACTTATTTTGATATGACTAAAAGTTGAATAATTGTTTATACATTTACATTAGCATCATTATGCAGTCCAGGAAAATACTGAAAACAAATGTCTAGGAAGTAGCAAAATTCAAATGAGTATGAAGTTTACTTGTATAAAGTGCGGCTGTATTCTATTGTACCATTGCATTCTGAATACCAAACAGCTTGTTGTTAAAACTATAAAAGTAACATTTCTGAAAACCTTAGTGAGTCTTCATTTTGTTTCTCTGACAAATACAAGTTGTCTACACATCTTTTCATCTCTCAGAGGCAACATTGCTGCTTGATTTTCTCGCCTTGGATAGCAGAGGGCATATAAAGCCCTTCATTGGCCTTGTGTCTTATCATCCCCCTGTTGTGTGTGCATGTTACTAAACAAGGAGTTCCCCAAACTGCTTTTATTTTGCAAAAGTGCATCTTCATGTGTTTGTGCCAGTGCTGTCGTTTCCTGTTATATATTGTATATAGTATATGTATGTGAACATGATATTTTAGGTAGCAGGCTCATGACTTGGACTTTCTTTTAGGAGTCTCTGTCTGAAGTGGAAGAAAAATACAAGAAAGCTATGGTTTCTAATGCACAATTAGACAACGAGAAGAACAATTTGATCTACCAGGTAGATACCCTCAAGGATGTTATTGAAGAACAAGAGGAACAGATGGCAGAATTTTATAGAGAAAATGAAGAGAAATCAAAGGTAACTGCTCATCTTGTATTACACTTTTCTTTTGGATCAGAAAATTAGTCTGCCATTTAAAAAGTGCTGGGCTTAATGGAAAATGTGCAGCATACCTGGGAGTGATGTTTCAGCCAAACCAATTGGTCCAAGGAAATTGACAGAACATAACAGATCCTAAATATTTTTCTTTTTAAATTTTTATAAGATTTATTTTACTAAAGAGAAGCTTATGACCTTCTTTAGTTTCTGAAAATAGAACTCAAATTTTATCTTTATTTTCTATCTCTTAATTGGGACAGTTACAGTTAATTACTTGTTTCTTCCTGTTTTGACTGGCTAGAACTTCACAAAGCTTCAAAGACTTGGAGTGTGTCTTTTTCAAGAAAAACTGTTTTCTAAATGATTGGAGAAAATTTTAATCAGTAATTTAGAAACAGCATTGTGGAGACATGGGTCAGAAATATATGTATGTTTTCTTTAGAGCTCTATAAACTATGTTGTTAAAATTGCAGAGAGAAAATTAAAGTGTAACTCCATCTTTAAAGCAATTGTCCCCTCATCTCTTACTATTCAGGTCAGACAGTTTAAATAGGAAGGGCAAGATTGCCGAAACGGGTTTGGCTCAGTGGATAGAGCGTCGGCCTGCGGACTGGAAGGTCCCAAGTTCGATTCCGGTCAAGGGCATGTACCTTGGTTGCGGGCACATCCCCAGTGGGGGCTGTGCAGGAGGCACCTGATCGATGTCTCTCTTTCATTAATGTTTCTAACTCTATCCCTCTCTCTTCCTCTCTGTAAAAAAATCAATAAAATATATTTAATAAATAGGAAGGGCAAGATAAAGAGTTTTCAAAATAAAGAATTGGTTGTTCCCCTTGGTGGTCAGTGCACATCATAGTGAGCGATTAAAGTCCCGGTTGCTCGAACTCCCAAGGAGACACTTTACATATTTTTTTTAATTCTTTATTGTTGAAAATATTACATATGTCCCCTTTTTTTACCCATCAACCCCTTCAGCCCGCCCCCTCCTCCCTTTCTCTTCCCCTACTTCCCTTCCCCCCTCCACTTCAGGCCCTCACCGCCGGGCATGTTCCCTTGACCAGAATTGAACCTGGACCCTTCAGTCCGCAGGCTGATGCTTTATCCAGTGAGCCAAATCAGCTAGGGCTCAAGAGTCTATTTTTGATAGCTTCTTTGCTGTCTAACACAAGAAGGTGTTCCAGGCTCATCTGGTACATCTCCTGCACAGATCTGAGTCAGCTGTTTGTCCAAGGAGCCCTACTTCTCTTTTAGTGAAACTAAATTTCCCCTCTGCATATTTTAACAATATAGCTTCCTATGGTTGCCAGGGTTGCACTTGCCACCAAGTTCATTGCTGATTATAAGCTTTTTTAGCATCAGGTGAACATGTATGTGGGATATTTTTAAAAATAATTAAAAAACAAAAGTTTTTAAAGTCAAAATATGAGTGGGTGCTTATGGTTCTAGTTCATGTTCAGGACTCTAGGGTTTTTACTTAGAGTCTTCCTTATACTAGTATATGTACATCCCTTTTTCCCCCACACTACCACTTTCAGTTCTTAAAGTCACTGAGGATGATAGTAATTATGTTATATTCTATGCTCATTGCTTTATCCCACAGTACCCAGAATAACAACGTTACCACCAACAATATAATTACTTAAAATAGTTATGTCTTTTGTTTTGTTCTGTTGGTTGTTATTTGACTGCTAGGCTACGTATAGTCCAACCCTTATTTTTAAAAGTTACTTGAAATAGTTTCTGTCCCTGTGCTTATGTTGCTAACTGGTTATATAGTTCCCTGCATTTATTTCAATATTTAGAAATTGCCTTTTTACTTTTTATTTTTAAAATATTTTTACTTTTAATGGTGGTAAAAAAATATATAACAAAATTTACCATCATAATCATTTTACAGTGCATAGTTCTGGACTGGTAAGTATATTCACATTGTTGTAAAACATATGTCCAAAACTTTTTCATTTTGTAACACTAAAACCTTGTACTTTCTAAATATCTCCCCATTTTCTCCTCCCCCCAGTTCCTGGCATCCACCATTCTCCTTTCTGTCTCTATGAGCTGTATTACTCTAGATACCACATATAAGTGGACTCATATATTTGTCTTTTCATAACTGACTTATTTCTCTAGCATAATGCTTTCAAGCAAGGTTTGTTTATTTTGTAGCTTGTAATGGGATTTCCTTCCTGAATAAGACTTCTCTATCTATCTATACCACTTTAATCCATGTATATGTCAGAGGATATTTGGGTTGCTTCCCCAAGGAATTGCTTTTTATTTTTGTTTTACAGTTATATACAATAAAATGTTTATATATATCTGAAGTCAAATCAACAAAAAACATTCAAAGAAGTCAACCTTCTAGCTCTTTCTCTTCACCCTTCCTTAAAAATTTCCTTCCTTAAAATTTTAAATTTCTAGTTTATTCTTTCATTTTTAAATCTAAGATATATATTTTTGCCATTCAAAAAATATTTGCAAATATATATGTTCCTCCTTTCTTAGAAAATGGTAGCATACTGTAAGTACCATTCTGCACCTTGATTTAACCACCTTTTGATTGTGTTATATAGAGATCTTCCTCATTTTTTAAAATCACTGTATAGATTTTTTCATTATGTGGATGTACTATAGTTTATTCTAGCAGTTCCCTATTAATGGACATTCAAGTTGTTCGTAGTCTCCTGCTATTAAAAATAGTCCTGCAAAAATGATGTACTCGTAGGTCTTTTTAATTTGGGGGCATTATCAAAGTGGGTTTACCTGGCTCAAAAGGTATGGTAAGGCTGCTAGATTCTGCCGAATTATTCCCTCCGTAAGAGTTATAACATTTTGTATTCCCACCAAAATGTGTGAGAGGGACTGTTTTCTATCTCATAGTAATTTTCTGAATTATGTTGTCAAGTTTTTGGACTCTTACTAGTGTTATAATGAGACATACGATTTTCATTTCTATTTCTCTTAGTATGATAATCTTTTCATGTTCAAAACAATTTTTTTTTCTGTGAATTCTCCACCTTTTAGTCCATTTTTCTATATAGTAGTGTGTTTTTTCTTTCTAGTTTTAGAGACTATAATAGAGAGTAACTTTCTGTTTCTTATATAAGTTGTAACTATTTTTTGCAATCATTTTACTCTGTTTTTAGCCTTTGCTATTCAGAAGTTTTTATTTTTATTTAATTTATTATCTCTTTCTCCTTCTTGCTTGCAAAATTTTTAGCCACTTTTAGTAATGTTTTCCTCATTCATTGGTTATAAGAATTCCATAATACTCTAACTGTTCCCCCCCTCCCTTGCTCTCTCCATTTCCCTTCCTTTCTGAACATTTCTGATCCATTTGGAATTGGTCCCGATGTATGGTGCAAGGTTTGGTCTCACTTTTCTTTTTCCATGCAGGTATCTAGTAATTCTAACACTAATTTAAAGTATTTTTTTTCTTACTGATTTGAGATGCTTTTTTAGTTTTGTTGTTGTTCAATGTATTTGTCTATTGGTTCTACTTAACATATTGTAATTGGGTCTATTTTTGGTTGTTCTATTCTGCTTCATTGATTTGTCTTCATGAGGCATCACAACAATGTTTTCATTATGTGGGCCTTATTATATGTTCTGATATCTAATAAGGCTGGCTTTCTTCTTTTTCAGGATGCTTTCTGTCCATTTTTTCTTCCAGATGTACTTTATAATCAACTTTTCTTGCTCTAATTAAATGTATGGATTAATTTGAGAGAGAACTGACATTTTTATGATATTTGAGTCTTTTTTTCCAAAAAGATAAAATGCCTTTCCATTGGCTCTCTGTCATTCACAAATGTTTTATATAATTTTCCTCAGATAGATTTTATATATTCTTGCAAGTTTACATGAATGTATTTCTTAAATTTATTTTTTAATTTTATGTGGTAATTTTTTAACCTGTTACTTTACTAAGTCATCTCATTGTTCCAATCAATTTGCCATTGATTAGTTTGGGTTATTCCTATAAGATGAAAAATGAAAAATTTCTGTACCTTTCCATAGACCACAGAATTTTCCTAAGTTACTCTGCATGGGCAGTTCAGGGGTGTTTCTGGAGGACATACTTAGCCTCTATGTTATTATGTTGTACATGTTTCATTTTGCTGTGTGCCATTATCTGGGTAAACTGTATCTTTTGTTTAATAACAGGAGTTAGAAAGGCAGAAACATATGTGTAGTGTGCTGCAACATAAAATGGATGAACTTAAAGAAGGCCTTCGGCAAAGAGATGAGCTTATTGAGGTATGTACATGAACTGAAGAAATACTGAATTTTGAAAAAATACATTGAATGAGAGGGGGGTATGCATTGGGAGGGAAAGGAGTTAAAACACTGCAAAGAGTTTACTACTTACTTGTCTCTTCATATTTAGCTGTACCTTACAATTTCACAAACATGAAACATAATGGCTTAAACAATTAATACTATGAACCCTATAAACAGTCCTCTTTTTAATAATAGAAGCTTTTATAATTGCTTTTATTCCTAAGCACATTCTTTTCTACAGACATTTTAGGAAATGGGTAAAGGAAGGATTACAGAGTACATCATTCTTTGGAATGTAGTGAATGCTGTCTTTGGGAACATGGTTCTGGGGGAATAAGAAGCTTGATCCTCACTGAGGTAGATGCAAATAAGAAGTTGTGGAGGCACCTTATATACCAAAAGGCAAAGGCTGGCCAGTGCTGACTTCAACTTTCTCCTGGTGGAGGGACTCTGAGCATCAGTGGTGGCAACCTTTTAGGAATGGGAAGCAGTGTGGTCCACCAAGAGATCTTTGGAAGCATTTACCATCCTCCTGTGTCTACTACCTCACATGCCATTTCTGTTTATGTATAACTGAAAATTCTTGAGTATGACAAAACAATGCTTTTTTGGTCTGCAGAATCGCATGGTAAAATATATAAGAAATGTGTAACTAAGGAAAGTAGGAGATCATAATTTACCAATAATGCATAAAAGAAAACCTGTTAAACATAGGTAAAAGGAAAATTGAGCATCATTGTCTAAACAGAAGAGTTGTTTAAGAATGACTAAATACTAATTTCTAGTTTTTCTAAACATTGATGTATTTATAATGCATGATTTTCTTTCTAGCATAGATTCTAACAAAAATTCAAAATGACAAAGCTAAGATTAGTCTCTCGGTTTTTTTTAGTGTTTTTTTTTTTTTTTTTTTAAGTTTTGCTTAGAAATTAAAGTTTAAAACTACTGGTTGTCCTTTATGATAAGGATCATAAGCAAATCTGAATTTTCCTCTTTAGAAATGTAAGTTTGTCCATGTTTGGAAAAGGCAGTTCTCAGGAAGAGTCCACATGTGGGGCTGGATGCACACAGAAACCCTAGCTGGCTTGCTGCCACATAGCTGTGGTTGGAACTTATTCCAGTCCCTTCCCTACTCTATAGCGGTGAGCCACTGCGAGTCCTGTCTCCCAGCCGCTGGATGTCTGCCTTCCTTTCAGCAAGCAACTCCTGCTTTTCCTGTTCATCACAGCCGGTCCCATTTTACTGTTTTTTAAAATCATCTTTCTTTTATTTCTCTTTTCCTCTCTCACCCCCTTCCTTGTTTCTTTCTGCTCTTTCATTACCTCTCTTCCCCTCTTCCTCTGCAGGAGAATCAGCGTATGCAGCAGAAAGTAGACACCATGACAAAAGAGCTGTTTGAGCTCCAGGAGACACTGCTTTGGAAAGATAAAATCATTAGGGTATGAAGTGAAATTGGGCTTTACTCCCAAGCTCATCGACAAGGAATAGACCAATATAATTTAACTCAGAGATTCCAAAAACCTGTCCTTTTGACTCTTCTTAAGCATTTAAACAGCATGAAACATAATAAGTAGAAGACAAACTTTTAGGGGAAAACCTGATACTATGCCTGGAAAGAACTCCACTCTCTTGCTGCCTCTGGGCTTGTGAAACCTACCAGTAGGAACTTCCTAAGGAAGTTGTTCTTTATTTCCTCACGATTCTTATCCAGAAGCAGCCACAGGCATTTAATCCAGACTCTGTGGGTAGCTTTATATCCTTACATTGCAACAATTTGGATAAGGAGCAAGAGGATAAGGAGTAGGGCTGAGGGAAAGGTTATTAGCATTCCATAAATCCTTGGTAAGTAAAATAGGAAGAGATTAAGATCAGTTTAATTACGGAAGTGAATAGGAATGTCAGATTTGTTAGAACTGCCAAATTATGAGGTCATCTCTAATTATAATCTCATAACTCCTCAAAGCAGGGGCCCAGATAAGGGAAAAGTCTTCAGTGCTTTTTTGCTAAGCCCTTTAAGTAGATCCCAAGTGCACAGTAGGCTGAAAAGATTTCCACCAACTCACCCTGTGTGCCCTTTGACTGGCAGCCCCATCTCATGGCACTAGCTATCTGTTCCGCATTTGGGGCCCACATAGCCATAATTGCCAGAGGCTTACCTTCTCAGGGATGGGCTGTGGCGGGGAAACGGGTTAGGTGGGTTAAGGAAAGATTGCAAAGATCCCCAAGAGCACCTGTGATAGACATAACCCTCTGGATCACACCCCCCATTGTTAGGAGAGTCTGTTTAATATCTAGTTCTTTTCACACCTCCAGTGACCCTATCCTGTCATTAATGAGAATGAGCACCTGGTAAACAAGATGCCTTCTGAGGAGTTTGGTAGACCAAAAGCTTCAAAGAAATAAAGCTACCTTTTAGAGTTTCTAATACTTAAATACCAAGTTTCTAAAATTCTTCCCAAAACTAGAAGAGCATTCTGCAGTATAAATTAACAACTCTGTTAACAGTTTTAAAATTGTGAGCTACTGATCTTATTTAAATTTTTACTTGGGAAATTTAAAATGAGATGTGAAAAATGTGTAGCACAGACGAAACCGGTTTGGCTCAGTGGTAGAGCATCGGTCTGCGGACTGAAAGGTCCCAAGTTCGATTCCGGTCAAGAGCATGTACATTGGTTGTGGGCACATCCCCGGTGGGGGGTGTGCAGGAGGCAGCTGGTTGATGTTTCTCTCTCATCGACGTTTCTAGCTCTCTATCCCTCTCTCCTTCTCTCTGTAAAAAATCAATAAAATATATTTTAAAAGAAGAAAGAAAAATAGTATCCATGTTTGTCATGAACCAACTTAAAATGAGTTTAAATTTAAAAAAAGAAAAAAAATGTGTAGCACAAAGTACATAATTTAAAAGTTTAAAATCTGGTCACTGTCTAGAATGGGTTTCTTTTAGGATCTTAAATAATATTCTTTAGCACCTATCAGCAAGCCTGTGATTTCTATTTTGCATAATCATCTCAGTATTTTAAACTGGTTATTTTGGTCTAGCCAGAGAAAAATTCTAAATCTCTCAGCCCAATAAAATAGCTCTTTAAAAGGTTTTTTTCCCCCCCCCTTATAAAAAGGCTGAGCTGATGGTCAAGATATAAATTATTTGACTTTTTACGTTTCTTGGCATTATTAAATAAGGGGATATCTTGCTTCTATGTGGTATATAATAATGTGTTCCTTTGGATTTTTTTTAATTAAACTTTTAAAACATTTTTTAGATAATTGTAGAGTCACATGCAATTGTGAAAAATATACAAAGAGATATTCCCCAATTGCAACATCTTGCAAAACTATAGTACAATATCACATCCAGGATATTGACCTTGAAATAGTCAAGATACAAAACATTTTCATCACTGTTATAAGGATTCCTCCTGTTGCCCCTTTATAGCCATATCTACTATTTCCCCTACTCTGTCTAAATCTCTGGCAACCATTAATCTGTTTTCCTTTTCGATAATTTTGCCATTTAAGAATGTTATATAAGTAGAATTATATAGTATACAACTTTTTTAATTACCTTCTTTCACTCAGCATAATTCCCTTGAGATTCATCCAAGTTGTTGCATGTATTAATAGTTTGTCATTTAAAAATTAAAATTAAAAAGTTAAAAACTGTGACAAAGTACAAATAACATAAAATTTACTCTTTTAGGTGTAGAGTTAGTTGTGATATTAAGTACATTCACATTGCCATGCTTTCAGCGCCACAATCTATCCACAGAACTCTTTTCATCTTATAGGACTAAAACTCTGTATCCATTAAATTACAACTCCCCATCTCCTCTTCCCAACCCCTCCCAACTACCATCTACTTTCTGTTTCTATGACTTTGACTCAAGGCAGCTCATCTGAGTGGAATCATTAGTATTTGTCTTTTTGTGACTGACTTATTTCACTTAGCATATGTCCTAAAGGTTATCATACTGTAGCATATGTCAGATGTCCCTTTTTAAGATAATACTATTCCATTGTGTTACCCACCACATTTTGTTTATCCTATCATCTGTTGATAGGCACTTGGTTTGCTTTCACCTTTTGGCTCTTTCAAATAATGCTGCTTTGAACATGGGTTTGTAAATATCTTTTTGTGACCCTTCTTTTATTTCTTTTGGGTATGTACCCATAAGTGGAATTGCTGCATAAATGGCAATTCTAGGTTTAATTTTTTGAGGAACCACCATATTTTCCATGGCAGCTGCACTAACATTGCCATCAGCTCTGCACAAGTGTCCCAGTTTCTCTACATCCTTACCAACATGTTTTCTGTTTTGTTTATAGCAGCCATCCTAATATATGTGATGTGGTCCTCTCTTGACTTACAACATTTTCAACATGGCCAATGACTACCTAATATATCACTCATCTCTAGCTTCATTTTCAGGATTTAAATTTAGTAACTTAATAGAAGAGCATGACCTTTATTGTCCTGTTAAAGTTGTTTTCTTTAGTTCTTCACTGATCCTAGTGCTCATGTCTTTATCCCCAAGGCTGTTCCAAGCACCAGGTGGCCATATGTAATATATATATACAAAGTACCTATATGTCCACATATTCCAGTTTAAGACTCACTCCCATTCTGACTACCCTGTGCAATTATATGGAGAGTTAACCTGTTGCCCAAAGTTCAACCTGTTATACATATCTTTAAGCCTTCTTGACACTGGAATTTGAGGTTAGGTCAAGGATAAAGAATTATTTAGACTGTCACAAGCATGTACTTTTTGGCCTAAAAAAATTTTCACTGTAGGAACTATTATTGAATGTAGACACAAGGGTAGTGGTTAGATGGTCAGGTAATACAGAAGATTTCAGATTCAGCGTGAATACATGTGGTCTAATTATACAGTATTTCAGTCCTCTTGAAACTTTGTGGTGAAATGAGAGCACTTACAGGATGTATTTTATTTTCCCATCCATAATTATGGGAAGACAAAATTAAAAAGTCCAAAAGTAAAGATAAAATTCAATGCTGTAAGATGTGGAAGAGGAGCAAATGGCATATTCGAGCATTTGCTAGAATTCCTGGTTTCAAATTGGTCTGTTCCTAAGAGATCATTTCTGTTTGGTGGTGGTGGTAATACAGAGCATGTTGTGATAGTGATCGCTAACTCAGTAAGTGTGCTGATGCACGGCCTACCTTGTGCACGCAGACACCCGTAACCACAACTGTCTAACCCAGCAGACAGAACAGCAACTGTCAACAAGGGTGTTGTTTGTGCTTTGCTGTCTTAGTGTTACGTTTGTTATTAATGCAGTGGAGTGTTAATATTAATGCCTTATGATATTAGAAAATCATTATTAATTCACAGGCAGACTCCAAACATGTCATACAGTGTGATTTGTTGAAGGGAAGTTAGATTTTGATGTTGCAGTTTGAGTGAGGAGTAGGACTTGACCTGTGGACCACTTTTCCAGCAGCATCTGGGAACAGAATTGTGGCCTTCATGGTGCTGCCATATAGAAAAAATATGCAAGAGCTTCTGATTCATTTTCTAGCTTTGCCACTTACTGTGACATTGAGCAAAAATATATAACTTCTCTGAGCTTCAGTTTTCTGATTCATGAAATGGGCATAAGACAAAATACAGATTATATAAAGGAGAAATTATGTAGATATAGATATACTTATTTATGTGTATATAACACTGTCTATATAGTAGTTGGAGCTACGCAAATTGTAGTTTGAGCTGTGTAAATCGTAGTTGCTCTTATCCCTTACTTCCAGTTTGGTTGCAGAATAGGATTATAATGGCTTTAAAAATTGTCCAGTTATTGAGCAACCAGTCACTAAGCAATTGACCACTTCTAAACCCAATAAACTGAGAAGAAAGTAACCTGTTGTGGTTTACTCAGATTAATGGGAGTGCTGGCAGAAAACATTAACTATATAAACAAATGGATGGAGAAAGGCTTTTTCAAATAGTCCAGCGGTCAGGCCCCTGAATAGACTGCCCAACGTGGGTATTATTTTGAGGCCCAAGGATAAAAGTGCGTTTCTGCTTCTGCACTGTCCTCAGTTCTGACAGCCATGAGATTCAGGCAGTGGCAGGAAAATGCAAATGGGGACAGCAGCTGGCTTCCCTGAGCCCTCCTTGTCTCATGCATGGCTGGTGGGGCTTTCCACTGAGGGCCTCTTGAAGCCTGAGCCCACGCTGTGGGAGCTGAGGTTAGCCCTGCCCCTTTTCAGATGAGGAAACTGAGGCAAAGACAAGTTAGTATGTGCCAGGACACAAAAGCCAGATTCCAAAACCCATATTTGCTACCCTCTGTAGGTGGGCTGTATTTATGTTGTCAGTATGTTATTTTTGCTTTTCACATTTTGAAGGTACATCAGAAAACCAAATTACTCTTAATTGTATTTAATTAAATTAACAAAGTGGGTTCTCAAGAATCCCTTTGGAGATTAGCCATTTTTAATTAAGCGGTACTTGAGGAATATTTTGCCACGTTACTTGAAGAAAAATCACTACAGCCTACATTTAATTAAAATACCTTGTGCATACTGATCTTTTTTCTTCCAGAACTTTTTCTAAAATCAAGTATATTCTTGAATAAACTATTTTAGGTGAAATCTGAGGGTTTTATTTGATTGATTCACCAAATGAAAAGGTACTAGGAGATCAGTAAGGTCAACTTTATTTCACCATTACTGCTGCCTTCGTTTTCCGTTTCCTGTTTGTTCATGGACTGGAAAAGAAAGATTCGTTTTCTTGCCTGATGTGATAAGCATGTTTTGTCGAATTTCTGCACGATTAACCAGTTGCTATTAAAACTCCCTTCTGGAGATATATATATCCATCTAACTTCCTATTTCCTCCCAGCTCCTAATGTTGCCTTGTCTTTTATGCCTTTATCTTTATTTAATTCGGGTACTTCTCTGCTCCCTTTCACTTGCTTTTTTTCTGTGCCATTCTGTCCCTTGCTACCCTGTCTAAAACCAGGCCCTAGAGAAGCAGAAGGAATACATTGCCTGCCTTAGGAATGAGCGAGATATGCTCAGAGAGGAGCTGGCTGACCTGAAGGATTCGGTGAAGACAGGAGAGGTATGTTAGCATCAGCCTGCAACTCATGTCCCTCAGCGCTTTCTTCTTCCTTTCATCCTGTCATCTTTCCTGGCATGAGTACAAACCACACTGATCGTTCTTCAATCCAAGTTTGGTAGGCTTAAGTCATTTCTTCTACAGAGCTGTGTTCCATGTAACTAGCTCTGCCCGGTTTCACCTGTGGCAAACCTGTTGTCAGAGTCACCTCACACAGCATGCCCCCTCCGTGTGGGCCGTCTTTTGATGGTGGGTTTTTTCTTCCCCACAGAAACATGGCTTAGTTATAATCCCCGACGGCACTCCCAACGGTGATGTCAATCATGAGCCAGTGGTTGGAGCCATCACTGTGGTGTCTCAGGAAGCTGCTCAGGTCTTGGAGTCCGCAGGAGAAGGTCCTCTAGGTAAGACACTGGTTGCTACCTTAACTTGGGTTAAGGTGACCCTATTAGACTTCCAGCTTGTTCATTTACCATCTTGAAAAACAAAACTACACACAAAGACTGTCTGAGCCTTATCTAGATCCTTAATGGGAAGAAATGGGGGCACGTTATCTTCAGACGTCCTTGACTGTGGTAGACCAGCATTTGGGTCATTGTGAGTCCCCTGTCTGGAAGCTGTGGGTATACACATGTTGCTTTTTCACTTAGAGATAGCACATTGCTTTTTCAATTAAATAGAAATCTTCTGGTCCCAGGGAACCAGTGGGCTTGTAGGCGACTTTCCAAGTGTATTTTCTTCTTGGAGCATCTGGTTCTGTGTTCTGCTTATCCCAGGGTTCTCGCAGCTCTTTGCCACCTTGTTTCTTAAGGCAAGAAAACAGATGACCAAGAAGGTAGATATCGGTGTTATTTCTAGAGCAGGGCTTCTGAGGCTCTTGTCTAAGCCTCTTCAATTTAACCCTTTGAGATTCTAGTGACACCTCTCTCAGGAAACCACACAGATGTCTACCAATTATCTCCACTAAGAATCTTGCTCTACAGGGGAAAAAAATGATCCAGATAGATACTGTATCATCAGCCTACTTTTACTTATTTAAAAAATCTTTTTTTCATGTTTTTGTAGATGTGTAGGTTTCCTAGAAAAGTGGGCTATAAGAGTGGGGGTTGGGGGGGAATCTTCTAAAGTTAGTGAACACAGTCTCGAATGTACAGACTTATAGAAATGTGATTGTAGAGCACTTTGATGAAGCAGAAGATGCTAGAAGGCAAGAGAGAGCTGCTCTAGAGAATGGGTGTGATCCAGAGCATTTCCTCTGCTTGGAAGGTGCTGAAGAAACCGAACTTACACTTAGCTGGGACCCTAATTGGCTGTAAGAGGTGCTGGCTAGGTGTCAGCTGCTGCTTTTACTCGTCTGTGGGTATCCCCTCAGCCCAAGGGCCTGTTTTAATATATGTGCTTCTCCCTCCAGGCTAGGAGCAGGCCCAGTGACCCTGCTACAAAGCCTGATTAGCCCTTGATGGCCTGCATTTTAGAGCTGGGCCCATCCTCCCCCCCCTAGTTGTTGTGGGCCATTGCTTCTTCCAGCGTTGTGTTCCTCTGGTTTTTTTGTTCCAGCTTCTCTAAGTCCCACTCTTGACCCCTGTCTTCTATCCCATATTTTGTTTTCTCCTGCTAAGGGCTTAATTAAGCTTGTGGGAGCACTCTTGGCATTTGAGTTGTCTCTCTACTAGTGAGAGCTTGCAAAGTTTTGAAACAAGGAAATGATCTTTGTACTTTAGTTTGTTTTTAAGTGGAAAATCACTGCTCTAGGGAGCACGTGTATTTAGTGCCCTGATAAATATCCATTGTGTGGAAATATGTGTTGAATAATGAAGTACTTTTCCTTACACCATCAAGCCTTCATGTCTTGATAGTCAGAGCTGTAAATTGTGTATCAGATATTTGCTCTTTTTCAATTTGTAGAATTATTTTTAATTGTTCATATATTATATTATGACAAATTTAGTTTACAACCTTTTTTGTTTGTTTTAGATGTAAGGCTACGAAAACTTGCTGGAGAGAAGGAAGAGCTACTATCACAGGTAATGTTAATTGTAACTAAGTCACATGGTAAAATGTTAGCAAACTATTGTACACTAGAAAGAGATGTGCTTATTTTAAATATCAGCACTCAAGTGCTGATAATTCATATTTTACCTCTTATTGTTTTTTAAAAATAATGTATAGGACACATAGCTTGAGGGTCGAACAGTCCTACAAAGCTTGCTATGAAGCCGGAAGTGCTCTTTCCTGCCCCCCAGCCATACCCCAGATCATTCCTGCTTGGTGCTTTTACCTGATTCTTTGGTGTGTACCGTTGTTTCTTTGCATATAAATAACATGCTTACATTGCTTCTCAATTGTTCTGTTTTTGGCCTTCTCTGTTGCCATCCACCTGTGGAAGGTGAGCATTTAGCTTTCTTTCATCTCCTGTTCCTACCACACACGTATACCTCCCATCCCCACATCTGCCTAGTAACGAAACAGTATCCTTCCAGTCCTTTCATGTTATTAGACTTTGTCAACACTCCTCACAGTGGAGCCTTGTAGCACTAGGACTGCCTCTCATCTCTTCCACAGCTCTTCATTTTCTCCAAAGCAAGTGTTGTTATGTTCCTTTCACTTGCTTTTCTATATGTGTATTACTAATTTAGCTGTAGACTTTCCAATGGTAGGTTAAGTCCACTATTTAGTAGGCACTATTCTAGGCATTTGAGATATTTCAATGAACAAAATAGTTAAAAAAAAAAAATTCCTGCCCTAGTGGATTGAACATTCTAGTGGTAGGAGACCAAGCAGTATACAACAAATATAAATAACTAGAGGCCTGGTGCATGGATTCATGCACCAGTGGGGCCCGTTGGTCTGGCCTGTGGGGATCAGGCCAAAACCAGCTCTCTGGTACCCCCTGAGGGGTCCCGGATTGTGGGAGGGCGGTTCTCAGGTGGCTCACCCAGAATTGGGCTACCTCCTCTCTGGTTCTGGGTGCGTCACCTGAGAACTGCCACTGCCAAGTGACCACAGCTCGGCAGCTCCTGTGTTGAGCTTCGCCCTCTGGTTGTCAGTGCACGTTATAGCTACTGGCCCGTTGGCTGGTTGGCTGGTTGGCCAGTCACTTAGGCTTATATATAGATATAGCTAGATAGATAGATAGATAGTAAATTATGTGTTATGTTAGAGATTTGTGTGAATGCATTTATTGTGTTTCTCCAGCCACATTAAACTTTATCGGTGCAGACGTGGAGTAGGCAGTTAGCTTTTATCAGACAAGTTTAATAGGGCAGAGGATGCAAGGGTGTGTGCAACAGAGTGGTGATGGACCTAGAAATTAAACTGGGTAAGGAGGTTTGAGAGGACATCCAGGAAGATCAAAGCCCACTGGAAAAAAATGGGAGCAATGGATTACAGTGCTAGTGGCATCCAATGATTTTTGGAGTTGGGGTCCAGAGAGAATGAGCTGGGAAGATCTGGAGTAGCGGTTAGAGAGAAGATATGTGGATTAGATGCATGTAGAGGTTGCAGTTATCTAAACCAGCAGTCGCCAACCTTTTGGACCGCACGGACCAGCAGTGGTCTGCGGACCCCTGGTTGGTGACCGCTGATCTAAATGATGAGCTATAGTACTTGATTGTGGGAGTGAGTGGCTGAGGGCAAGAAGGAACAGATGCCAAGATCTTTAGAGAGGATGTGTTCCGGAAACTAAGGTATCAATTGTAGAAGAAATCCACTACTTAGGTGTATTTTGAAATTGCCAAGAATTAAGACAGAAATAGTTTTGAGGGAGTGCAAGATGGGAGCTAAAACAGTGAAGAAAGAGTGGAAAGATGGCAATGATGAGGGGTAGTGAGTAAAATTGGAAAAGATAAGATTAGGAGTTTTAAGGAGGTTAGAGGGAGAATAGCTTGGCAACCGCAAATAAAAAAAACCAAGAGGACACCCATTCCATTCTTGGGCCCAGCTGTGGGAGAAATGTAGGGCTGCGGGAGTACGTAGAGGGCTGCAGAGGAAGCAGGATCCTATTAGAGCACTGGGGTAAAGGGAGTGCTCAGAGCAGAGATGGAGGACCCGGGGGCATTGCTGATGATAGAATGGTAATCCAGAGGGCACAGTGGAAGAGTTTCAGGCTTTGGGAAAGATTAGGAGGTGAAGACAAAGACCTGTACAGAGCCTTTTGGGGAAGAGTGTAGGAGAGAGAACTGTGACCCTTTTTGAGATGGACCTAAACAGAGTGTTGGGGATATTGAGATTAGTCTTGGTTCACTCAAGGCAGATAGTGGTGACCCTGTGTGTGCTGCAAGGACAGAGGTGTCTCGGAAGCATGGCTTTAGTCCCAGGGCAGCGCTCGCCGGGACTTTCCCCGGTGGGGAGTGGCGAACTTACTCCCGGTGCTCAGGCTGCCCCTTGACTCCTGCTGATGGAGTCAAGGACACAGTTGGCGAGGCCAGCTGGAACTCTGAGCATGCAGATTCACCTTGACCCTTGAAGGACAAAGAGGCATGGGAGGTTTTGTCCCTTTGTCCCAGAGGCACCTCCCCTGGTGTGTGGGGGTGAATAGACTGCTCTGAATTGTGTTTGTGTGATGGTAAGAGTTGTAGGCATTTGGAGAAACATGACTGGTTTCCGAAGGAGGAAGACAGATTCGGGCACTGACGTTCTGACTTCTTGTTTCTCTCCTGTTTTTCCACCTCTCTTTATGTCTCTTGCTTTACTTTTTAAAAGTTTCTCAACTTTACCTTCTAATACTTTTGTTGAGTTTCTGTTTCTGCAGTCATTTCAAGGATGCAGGTATTTTCACTAATCTCGGAGGATATCGACGGCCTGGTTGGTTTGTTTTCTGCTGTCTGCAGTTTGTTTCCTTGCAGATGCTCTTTTATGCATATTTATTTGGTCTTCAGTGTAAGAGTGGGGAACTAGAAAGCTGATGGGCAGTTCTGAGGTAATGGGTGAGGCTTGTCCAAGTTTTTGTGAAGATTGATGTGGCTGGGGGTTTGGTTGGGAGCCTTCAGTGTGGAAAGATCGGTCTTTTATTTTAGGCTAGTCAGAGCTCCAAAGAGAGATTCAATCCTCTGCCTCAGGGTACAGCCCAGCTGTCTGCATTGTGGGACCTGAGTGTGGTCTGGAAGCCTCAGAATCCAGTACATTTCTGTTCCCTTGATCTCCTTGTTTTCCACATGTGGCCATCCTTTCTCCACTGAACCTTGCTTTTTTTCCTCCAACCCAGAGCCCCTTTCATTTTATTTTTCAGTTTCTTTATTTTGCAAATTTTAAAACTTCAGCTTTATTAGGGTACTAGAGGCCCAGTGCATGAAAACTCATGCACTGGGGGGGGGGAGGGCGGTCCCCTAGCCCACCCTGCCCCCTCTCACAGTATGGGAGCCCTCGGGCAGGAGGCGACCTGGTGATCAGGGGAAGGTGACCCCCATCACACCTCTGCTGCCACAGCTGGCAGCACAAGCCTTAGCAAGCCCTGGTTACCTGAGCTCGGGGGCCTGGGAGGCCAGCCACCATCTGAGGCTTGGCTGCACATAAAGTATACCAATGTGCATACCTGTATTCTTTTCCTAGGGCTGTCATAACAAACTACCACAAACTGGGTGGTTGGAACAATAGAAATGTATTGCCTCACAGTTCTGGAGACAAAAGGCCCAAGATCATGGTGTTAGCCCTGTATTGGTTCCTCCTGAGGCCTGGAAAGGCCATCTGTCCCCTCTTCTCTTCTGCCTCCTGGTGGTGTGCTGGTCATCTTTGGCGTTCCTTGGCTTATAGATACACATCATCTTCTCTCTCCGTATCTCTTCAACTGGAATTCTTTTTATAAAGACACTAGCCATTTTGGCTTAGGGATCCTCTCTTGTTGCACTATGAACTCATCTTAGCTTAACTCTGTGTATCTGCAATGGCTCTATTTCCACATGAGGTCATATTCTGAGGATTTCACCTGATGAACCTGGGGAGTGACAGTATTCATAACGTGTCAAAGTTTCTGCACCCTTGGTAAACATTTCTTCCTGCACCCTCTTCCCTCCCCCTTCCCAAGCAACTGCTGACCTGCTTTCTGTCCCTCTAGATGAGTTTGCACTTTCTGGAGTTTTATATAATTGGAGTACATTTTTCACATACTTATTTTGAGATTCAGCCATGTTGCTTGTCAATTGTACTTTCCCCTTTTTGGCTGAGTATAGATGTACCACAATTTATTTATCCTCCTGTTGATGGACATCTCGATTATTTTTAGTTTTGGCTATTATGAATAAGCTACTCTGAACATCCTTTATTAATGTATTTCTGAATATTGAAAATTTTCTAAATAAGAATATTTAACCTAACTCTAAAACAAAAGTATCTAACTGCCCATAGAATTTCCATTTTGAATAAAAGTAACAAATAATACTGAAAAGTGATGTTCCAAAACCATACATGAATAATAAAATAGAGCTGTTTTTATGGGTGCTGATGTTCGTGCTCGCCCCTTTCGCTGTTTGCTCACAGCTTCTCCTAGCACCGTTAGTAGTGTGTCCCCTTGGTGGGCACTCAAGGAACTTGCTCATGAATAATGTGTATAGCTGACGAGGATCTGCCTCCCTTAACAAGGTAGATCTTGCTGACGAGCCTTTGACTCCCCTGCAGGTTAGAAAACTGAAGCTGCAGTTAGAGGAAGAGCGGCAGAAGTGCTCCCGGGGCGATGGCACAGCGGCTGGTGACCTGGCCGGGCTGCAGAACGGCTCGGACCTGCAGTTCATTGAAATGCAGAGTGAGTGCAGGGGGACGGGACAGGCCAATCAATCTGTCTGGGCTGTGTCCTAGAAGCAGGATTGTAAACTGGCTGCCAGTGTCATGTAATTCACATTTCTCAAGAGGATTGGCTTGTCCTCAGGTTGTCCAGAAGAGCAATGAGAGAAGTAATAGAGCTGAACAGAAGCTTCTGCTCACCTGCGAGCTTCAGGGATGATGAGAACTACTAGTAGGGTCGCCTAAGACCACCAGAAAACACAGATATTTATATTATGATTCATTAACAGTAGCAAAATTACAGTTATGAAGTAGCAACGAAAATAACTTTATCGTTGGGGGTCACCATAACATGAGGAACTGTATTAAAGGGTCTCGGCATTAGAAAGGTTGAGAACCACTGCTTTATTGGATATCAGCTACAACCCTCATGATAGTTCCTGGGGAATATTTGTTCCTAAAATGTCATTTTGGCATGGAGGGTCGATGAGGACTGGGATGTGACAAGAGGTAGGCTGATTGGTTAGGAGGCTGTGATGGTGAGCTGAACCACTATAATGGCTGTCAAGTTTTAGAGAGGGGACTGGAATAGATTTGGAAGAGATTGGCCTAAAGCAGCAAAATCAAGAGGAATCATCCTGAGGAGAGTGGGCTAGACTTATGTGTGAATGAGTCTAGTGTGGGTTGGCAGTCACAGGAAATTACAGAAGGTGGGGAGAAGTGCCACCTGCAGCTGTATGTGGAGGTGAGCTGACAGGATGGGCAGGCTGGGCCTGGCTGGAGAAGACAAAAGCAGGCAGCACTCTTGCACCAGAAAACCAGGAAAGGGACCCTGTGACTCTTGGGTCTGAACAGTGCCTTGGCTGTAAAGCATGGTGTTGTGGAATGGAATTTCAAAACAGATGAAATGGCTGAGACGACAGAGTTAGGCTTTTGAAAACAGGAAGGAATGGGTGGTTTGGAGAGCGAGAAGGACACAGCACATTTTGATAACAAATTGCTGGGTGAAGGATTAGAAAACTAGATCGTGAAGCTTCTGTTTTAGAGCCCAGGAATAGGGATCGTTCTCTCTGACTCCCAGGGGTGGCTTTTTGGGAGAGGGTTTTATGACCCCGTTACTTTTAAGGTGACAGTAACTGTCCACTCAGAACAGCTGTTTGCATTGAGGAGATATAGGAAGTTATAACTTTAACTATGTGGAACAGCACAAAAGTTCTTGAGTTAGGTAGAATACATTTGGTTTTCTCCTATAAGCCTTTTAATTCTTATCCTATAATTTTTTCTGAGGGAGATTTTTATTAAATCTGGCTTGTTGAAAGGATCCCCCTTCCCCCATCACTTATAAACTTTTTATTAAATGATTTACTTATTAGGTCAAATGTATAGCTACTGATTTATATAGCTCTACCCATACCACATTATCATATGTTATGGAAAAGCATTTGTTTCAGCAAATATTTATTAAGCATACATGGTGTGCTAAGCATTTGGCTAAATACAGAGGTAAATTCAAGGACAGACAGGCCTCTAACCTTACAAATAAATGTTAAGAAAACATGATATCTATTATAAAAGAACTCGGGGAGAATGCAACAAGAGCAAGAGAAGTTATGGTTAATTTAGGAGAGTCATACAGGAGGTGAAAATTGAGCATAACCTTGGAGGTTGGTTAAGACTTAAATCGCGGTGGGGAACAAGGGGCACTTGAGGTATGGGGGAGCAGGACGGTGGTGGGAAGGTTCAGGGCTGGGGTCCGGGAAAGTGGAGGGCCTAGGCCTGTGAGCACCGAGGTTCCCTGGGCCATAGGGCTGCAGAGAAGCTGGCTAACAGAGATCCTTGCTCAGCACTCTACCTACTCACATCAGTGGGCGAAGAGTGAATTTCCTCTAACTCCGATCCCAGGGATACTGTGTGATACAAGTGCTAGAGCTTCTGTAGTGTCCACACTTCCAGGGGCTGGGTTGCCGGAGGAGCCATGGTCGCCCTGTGTGCATTTGTCTTCTTAGACTGCACAGTCCTCTCCTGTGCTACAAAGGGCATCATTGCCTGGGGGGTCACACCTTCACCTCTCAGAGGAGACTGATTATTCTCTTCTATTCTAGGAGATGCTAATAGACAAATTAGTGAATACAAGTTTAAGCTTTCAAAAGCAGAACAGGATATAACCACCTTGGAGCAAAGTGTAAGTATGTCTAATGGTGCCAAATGATTTTAAATTCCCTTAAAACACACCTACCTCCTGTGTCTGAAGGGCTAACCCATGGATGCCTCCGGGCTGCCTTTACACTCGGATCTCTGGAAAAGCTCTCTATTAAAATGGGAAAGCCAGCAGAGAGCATCTGGCAGGGCACATCCGCCTTCTGTTTCCTGTAAAAATACCAAAAACTGTAGCTGTGATTCTAGTTGTAGATATTTCATGAGAATCCAGAGAGATCATAGTTTATAACAAAATGCTTTATTGCACATTTCAAAGGTCCAAAAACTTTTCCATTCAGTGAGTCTCCTTCTGTGATGTTACTTTGGCACTTAAACACTATGGTCATCATAAAACTTAACATGGGAAATGGGCCTATAATGACTCTACAGCTGTAATCCTTTGGGGACATTTCTTTATTTATAAATAGCATGTGGGTTCTGAGAGGACCTATGACTCACCCTAAGGGGACTTGTTAGTGTTAGATTACTTCGAGTTCTAATAACAGTGCATTTCCATCCTGGCTGCAAAAAAGTGATGGCTCCTAGTGCTCAGTCCCAGAGGCTGTGTTCTCATATTCACAGATTAGCCGGCTGGAGGGACAGGTGCTTAGATATAAGACTGCTGCTGAGAACGCCGAGAAAGTGGAAGATGAACTGAAAGCAGAAAAAAGGAAGCTACAACGAGAGGTACTTGTTTTTAATATGCTTTCTGGAAAACATTCCTAAAAGGAAAATATCCTTGGGAAGTAAATTCTTTGTTTGTTGTGTAAGGAATTTAATCCTGGGTCCGATCTGAAGGAAACGGCAGTGGAGTCTCATACTCTGTGTTGGTGGTTGGCCCACACAGTGACTGCCATTTTATGTTTTGTTCAGTTACATAAGAAAAGGAATACTTTATTTTTTAGGTCAGGTCTATTTCTCCAACGTCTGTAGGTCCTGCCTGTGACCAATACTCAGCGTCACTGTTTACGAGTGGCTGATTGAAAACAAAAGTAGGCTATGGGATCCTATGCAAGCCCATCAGTCAGCCGTGCGTCCACATCCCGCAAAGTTGAAAATAAGGTGGCACTTGGTTTTGTTTCTGACCCCATAAGTGACCAAGCTCTCCTGTCTCTAGTTACGAACAGCATTGGACAAGATCGAGGAAGTGGAGATGACCAACAGCCACCTGGCCAAGCGGCTGGAGAAGATGAAGGCCAACAGGACAGCACTTCTGGCCCAGCAATAGGGCGGCCACCACCAACCTGGGCGTTCTGGGCCCCACCCAGCGGGACGGACTTCTGCCCACTGACAAACCCCTCTCAGTACTGTTTGAGTTTTGTCGTTAATATAGCCACCCTTGTATTTTATAATTTATGAGAGAATGAAATAGGTTTGAATTTTCATGAATGAACACTCTGGATTTTGTTTGTAGTTTAATTCTAGACTAAGAACTGGTCCATGCTATTTTTATTTTGGTTTTTTACATCCGTAATTTTAGCTTCAAGTTTACCCACCATTTGCCCCCAGCTGCCTCAGTGACTGGGCACTCGGTGGCCTCGGCCCAGGCTGGGAGGACAGCGATTCTGAGTGCTCACTGAGCTACTTGCCGGAGACCTCAGAGAAAACACAAGTGCCTTCTCCACAGTGCAATCCAGACTTCAGTGATCTCCAGTGGTCAAAGACATGGAGCCTCATGTCCGATAGCATTTATATTTTAGTGAAAAAACAAGTTCACAGGTGGGGAATATATGTTTCACTAAAATTTATATGTTTGAAGAAAAAAAAGCCTTTTTTGTAAAATATTTAAATTTATATAAGAAAATGTTAGAAAAAGATATGGGGAGTGTATATAAAACTTGCTTTATTGCATGGGGCAGGGAAATCCAAGGTCTAATACTCTTAAAGTAAGAGTAGAGTCCTTAGTCTTCAACATCAACTGTGCTGTATCTTTTAAGGTATTTCATCTGCTGCTTCTTTGTGGAATGAAACCTCAGACAAACCCAATTTGGGGGGGTGGGGGGGATAGGCAGGTGGGACATCTGCCTGGAGAGTCTATTAAACACACCCTTTGGCTGACTACAATTGGCTACTGACACATTCATTTTGTTAGAGGAGCCTTTAAAACGAACCATGCCAACCGTGCCTTACCTTGCCCCTCTTTTCCCTCCTTCCTAAGGAAAGCTCTGACATTAAGAACTTTGTCTTTTTAAAAGAACTGCAGTTTCATTTTTAAAGGTACTGTCATTGAGTGTAGCCATTTTATAGGATTTGTGATTCTCTTGCTCTCAGAACCCAGGTGGTTTTATGGAAATGATTACTGCATCTTCAGTGTGTTTACACAAAAAAGTATCAGGGAAAGTCTAATGAAGCCTGGATCACATGAGAATCAAATCAGACCTGAAACTAGGTAATAAAGGGTACTCAAATGTAAATACATTATTGTTTAATTAGCCCTTTATTTTTAAAATATGGAAACCGGTCTCCTGAACTGAGAGGATTTCCTAGTTGGGGAGGGATGTTCTCAAAAGCAGATTTATCCGAGAATCCCACAGCTGGAACCGACAGACGAGGCCCGGCTCTGGCAGTCATGGAAACAGACTGTGGTTCAGCTCTTCCTCTGCGCCACGGCCACTCCGCCTGTGTGCCTCCCAGGCTCACGGACTCTCAGAAGTGAGAGTTCCAAGCGTTAAACTTGATCTGTCTGTCGTCCATCTTTTCCACATGGAATGGCTCCACTTCTTCATAAGATCGTTTTCTGTTTTTCTAACAGAACTTTCTTCGTTGAGTCTTGGAATATGGGTTTTACCTAAGAAATACAGGCATTCTTCCTCCCTGTGGGGACTGCACATTTTTATAAATGCAGGTTAATACTAAAGTAGCTTATTTTAATGCACTTATAGTTTGTAATTTTACATCATCCTTCAAACAACAATACCTAGAACTTGAATCATCTTAAGCTGGTAGTAGTCCTAGTCATTAACAAAGTGGGCTTCCTTAAGAAGTCATACCAGTTACAGTATGAATAGTACTCCTGGATAAGGAGTACTTTTTTCTCAAACTTATATTTAAAATTAAGAATCAATTAATTCTTTGGTTATTGAAGGTACTAATAGATTATCAATTCGTCTTTCTCAATAGACTGTGTCATCAGAGCCTTTTATATATGTAGGACCTTTTTTAATGGTACCTGAACTAACATAGTATCTATCACCTGACATTATAGAAAATCAAATCAAAGCATGATCTATGAAATCTTCAAGGCTTCTTTAGAATTCTTAGCAGATGTCCAGGGGGCTTTCAAATTGCTTTTGAGATTCTTTAACACTACCAGGTATACACTAGGTGAAAATCAATATAGAGAAACTTTAAAGTAAAATGAAATTAAATAAGAACTCTTAGGACACATCTGACATTTATTTATAGTGGATTCACCAAGCAGCAGGAGTGCTACTATTCAGAAGGCAAATGTGAGTCTTCAGCCTTAGGACCTGCTGCACCAGGCCTCAGAGGAAGAACAGCACACGCAGTGTCCGTAAGTGACCGTGTTTAACATCTCTCAAAGACCTTGTACAGATCGGGCAGGTTAGCAAGCTGCAGGACGTTCCCGTCTTCTGTGAAGTGCTTGGGAGGCAGGAGGTGTGAGCGGAAGGCCTTATATACGACGTGTTCCACAGTCCACTTCCAGGGGTTTGGAGCGGAGCCCGGCGCTTCCGTCTGGAAAAGACGTTAGGTGTCAGGTCTCCCCGTTTGCATCCCGGTACATCCTGGCTTCCTAGCGGACCTGCACCCGACCAGCAAAGTCTTGTTTCTTTATAACGGGCTGTTCCCTGGTGCTCGTGAAGCATGTATGCTAGCCTCTCAGATCTTATAGGTCTGAACCTGAGAGGAGATGGGGAATGAAGCCAGACCCTCATGAGGCTTTCTCCCCGGGAGCCTCTGTTCCATCCAGGGGGAATGTGTTACTGTGGCAAGATCTAACATAATGTCTGGTCCTGACTATGCTGTTTGGGCAACAAGAGTAGAAAGTAAATCTCTAATTCACCACTAAATTTGGGGGTCTCAATGTAGCCCTGTTTTCCTAGAAGCTCCACAGAGAATGAAATTAAATATAATGGGGATTATTTTGCTCCATAACTATTTCATGTAAAAGGAAATGTTTTCTCATCCATTCTTCATTGAAATACGTTTTTCCTATCCAATGAGATACTCAGCAGAGTTTGGTAAGCGTGCTATCTTACCGCCTTCACTGCAGTGAGGTATTTATTCCCTTGGGGCTTTGGCAACAGACTGAATCGCTACTCAATACCTATAGGCTTGGAACCCTCGAGCATGCCAACTGTCCCCTAGATTTCTCCCTACGAAACGAGTGTGTGGCTTCCCCTGAGGATGACTAAGTAACCACTGAGGATGGTCATGAACCAGGAAAAGCTGCTGCCCTACCCTTGATTCTCAGACCATTTCAACCCCACTGCCCCCACCCACCCAACCTCTCCGAAATAGTTGCTGACTGGGAAGCATTCTCACTGGACTGGAAAAATGGACAGAAACATGAGGTACCTCGGCCATTTTTCTATTAAGCTGACCTTCCGTAAGAAGAGCTGCGGACCTGACCTCAGTAAGCTTTGCCTTCCTGGCAAAGCAGCGGTCAGATGCAGAGTAAGGCAAAAGCTAAAAGAGGCGGGGGAGGGTCCAGACTCTGCTATCAATGGGGGATATGGACCCACTTGTCCTGGACAATCTAACTCAACCTCCCATCTCTCCCTGTGTTGGCTGATTTTATATTTCACAGTAAGATCACTCTGGAGGTACCTTCTAGGCCAGCAGAAGAGAATAAAATTCATGAATAAAAGCTGACCATTGTGCCCTTATGTGCAATAAAAGCCTAGGAATTTAGAGATGAGCAACTTTCCTAAAGGTGGTACGAGGGCCCATCCCAGTCCTGGGCTGCCAGCAGCATCACCACAGTACCTGTTGGCCTGAGAGGGTCGACTCCTCAGATATATACTGCTTCCGGATAGAGTAAAACATAGCACATTCTCTACTGAGGCTTTCGAAACATTCCTTTTCTTCGTCCCAGTTCACCTGGTCCAAAAAGAATTTAATACCTCAATATCAATATGTTCTTTAAACACACTTCATTGTTAAGTGGAGATCACCAATGACGTTAAGATGAATGCGACCTTTTAGACATTAAAAGCGGTAAACGGGAACTGCTGAATCCTGCAAGGGTAGGTGAGGAGGAGAAGGGCCTTTAGCTGTTTCACCCTTTTCACCTTTAGCATTCTGAATGCAGATGGGCCCTGTGCCCTCTCCCCCAGCACACTCACGTGCCCACCTACTTCAGAACTGGCTCAATCACTTACCTCAGTGGCGAGTCGAAGAATGAAAATCGGTAGACCCTCTAACGGGGGCACATAGTTGTCGATCAGAAGGGGTAATCCAACCAGGTTCCCTTCCTGCTTGTGGTAAAAAAGACCAGGTCAGGGGAAAAAGAAATACTGCTATTACAGTGTGATTTAAACCAATCCCACTTCCCCAGAGCTTCCTCCAGCTGTTGTCCTCACATCTGTGATTCTGATGACCATGAGCTTGACTGGGCTGGGCACAAGGGCCAGGAGATCTAAATACTTAAAAAGACTGTCCTGACACGTAGCAGAACAACCTTTTATTTGGATCAACCAAAGAGCATATCAAGAAGCAGAGTCTCAAAGATCAAAGTGAAAGAGGAAGAAACGGAGAGCAGGTGGCTGGTTCCCTGGCCTGCAGGGACTGGGACGCAGCCTCTCTCACGTCCGGGCCCTTCACCCTGGGGACAGGAACGGCCATGAACGAATGAAAAACTTGTCTAACAGCCTGATTTTGGGCCAAATACAAAACTTGGCTCGTCTGAAGAACACTACAGAGGCGTAAATATAGCCACCACGCACCTCGTCAATTTCCAAAGAGAAGTAGTCTGCAAGCATCTCAGTCTTCCTTTTCAGGAACTCCACAATGTATTCGGCAAGTCCTTCTTTGGGACCATCTTCCTCTGTCCAGCCACTCTCGGGGCTGTCCAAAGCGAGCATGGCGAGGTCAAAGAGCGGGGCTGGCTCCTAGGAAGGAGCAAGAGGAGGAAGGAGCAAGTGTGAGCACATCCAAATGAAGCGCGAATTCCCACAAAACCATGATCGCCAACAGGAGGTGAGAACCCACAAATCTCACACTCATTCCCAGGAAAACAACATTCACAATAAAACAACCTCCTCCTCCTCCTCCTCCTCCTCCTCCTCCTCCTCTCTGGCCATTTCAACAGAGATGTGCCACACAAAGAGCCTCCTGAACAGATGGGCAAGGTGGGAAGGTGAAGAGGCACTTTGCTTCTGTGTAGCTTTAAGGACACCACTTCCGTATTTCTAGCAAATCACTAAGTAAATTTTGACTTTCTACTGCCTTACTCATAACTGAAGCTATGGGGAGGGTGAGTTAGTTAAATCAAATGACATTTCAAGTCAATCACCTGATTAGAAAGACTGAAATCTACCGTTAAAAATAAAATGCCGGGCCAAAACCGGTTTGGCTCAGTGGTAGAGCGTCGGTCTGCAGACTGAAAGGTCCCGGGTTCGATTCCGGTCAAGGGCATGTACCTTGGTTGCGGGCACATCCCCAGTAGGGGGCATGCAAGAGGCAGCTGGTCGATGTTACTCTCTCACCGACGTTTCTAGCTCTCTCTCTCTCTCTCCCTTCCTCTCTGTAAAAAATCAATAAAATATATTAAAATAAATAAATAAGTAAAATAAAATAAAATGCCTCTATTTCCCTCCATTTCTCCCTTTCTGTGGTCATACATTTTGCTCTTACATGTTATAAACCCACAGTACACTGCTCTTACTTTTATATAACAATAGAGGATTCAATCAAAAGGACCTAACAATCCTAAATGTTTATACATTCAATAACAGCTTTAAAATATAAAGGATAAACTAACAGAACTACAAAGAGAAACAGACAAATTCACAATTACAGTTAGAAGTTTCAATACTCCTTCCTCAATAAATGGCAGAACAAGTAGACAAAGCTACCATCCAAAAGATTTGAGCATCACC